AAAGGTGGTTTTGGTCCCCAAGCAAGGAGGGGGTTAGTTTTAGAAAGGGACTATTATCATCCTTGCTTTCAAGTTAAACTATAAACTAAATTCTGAAACGTAGCTTGGTCTATACCCAGGAATAACCAAAGATGGCTTGGAGGTCAGAAGTAAGATGGAGTCAACCATGTTAGATATCTCTCACTGTCATGATTTTGCAAAAGTGGTTTCAATCACATCACCAAGTCTCACGGACCATTCGCTGACATCTGACTGACTTCCACAGAACACTCACATGGAGAACCTGTCTGCTTTGTTGGCAGAAAACAGTAGTTATTTACTTTTCTCTAGAAAATCGCTGAGCAGATATGATGCCTATGGTATCTTTGCTTAATCTATTCGAAAGATCATCGGTGGACAACAGTTTTTTTTATGTTTATTTTTTGAGACTGAGTCTTGCTCTGTCGCCCAGGCTGGAGTGTACTAGTGCAATCTTGGTTCACTGCAACCTCCACCTCCCGAGTTCAAATGATTCTCCTGCCTCAGCCTCCCACGTAGCTGGGATTACAGGCATGTACGACCACAGCCAGCTAATTTTTGTACTTTTAGTAGAGATGGGGTTTCACCATGTCAGACAGGCTGGTCTCGAACTCCTGACCTCAAGTGATTCGTCCGCCTCAGCCTCCCGAAGTGCTGGGACTACAGGTGTGAGCCACCACACTTGGCCAATTTTCAAGAACCATTTTCAAATACTAATAAGCTCCTGAAACTGGCGTAGAGCTTCAATACTTGAGGAGTGTGGAAGGTTCAGTCTGGCTGAGGCACAAGGTGTGTTTTCTGCACAACAAGCTCAATTGATGGGAATTCTAAACCCTAGTGATAAAAGGTGGGTGAAGCACCTGTTTTCCTTTAAGTGTCCACTATGTGTGAGACTAGAGACATGGATGAATAAAGCCGTAGCTACTGTCCCAAGTAACTCAGGAAAATTCCGATTTCAATCACATAGTAGCACCGATGTATTTGTGATTATATTTAGCAAACATTTACTGAATGCTTCCTGGATCTAAAACCCTGTTGACAGGAGATATAAAGACAAATAATTTCTCTCTCCGCCTACTCCAGGAGGAATATGGGCAGACACAGACCAGTGCTGTAAGAGAGGTACGAGGAAGTTCTATGGAAGTATTCTAAAGGGTGGGGAAAGGAGAGGAATTGGAGGAAGGCTTCTTGCAGAAGGGAAACGATTTTCTTTCCGATTGAGCATTATAGAATTGGCAGAACTCTTCTAGATGATTGCTGAGCATCCTAGCCTATTAGAAGGCACTTCAAGCCAGAGCAAAATGCTGGAAGCCAAACTGCGCAGATAACTAGTAGAAACTCTTGTTGGCAGAGTATCCAGTTTTTGGAGAGGTAGGAAGGACAAAATTATTAAGGCCTTTGGATACTGGGCATAGGGATTTGGAATATATTCTGAAGATATGGAAGCATTGTGGATGGGAAGGATAGATCCAGATTAGTGATTTAGAAAAAGAATTCTGGAGGACATATTGGGTGTAGGAAGAGATTTCAGTGGGGGCAGCAGCATTGCTGCAATTCAGATAAGAAATAGTGACAGCTTGAGCCACAGCTATGGAAACAATAGGAAAGGAGGCAGAGGTGCATATCAATGTAATATGGCAGCTGTGGGAGATGGAAGAGTGTGAAACAACATATACGAAGCCGAAGACAGAAAGGATGGTGATGCCAGTAAGTAAACCCAGGTATCAAGGGGAGTACATAGGTGAGGCAAATCAATAAAGGTGTTTAATACATTAACTTTGAGGAGCTTGTAAGACTTCTGTGTGGATTGGCCCATGAGGTGGAAATACAGGTATACAACTCAGAGTGGTCACTTACGCACAGGTAACATTTTCAAAGATATTTGAGGCTGGGTGTAGTGGCTCATGCCTATAATGCCAGCACATTGGGAGGCCAAGGTGGGCAAATCACTTAAGCTCAGGAGTTCTATATGGTAGAACCCTGTCTCTACAAAAAAAAATATATATACACACACACACACACATATGTATATATACACATATATACACAGACACACACACAACTCTATCTCAAAAATACATATATTATATATGAATATATATAAATATAATGAATATATAACATATATTATATATGAAACATGAAACATATACATGAAATATATATATGGATATATAAATATATATTATAACATATATGAAACATATATACATAAAACATATAATATATGAATATATAAATATAATGAATATGTAGAAACATATTATATATGAAACATATATACATAAAACATATATATTATATATATGAATATATATTATATAAATATAATATATATTATATATGAATACCTATAAATATATTCATATATATAATATATATATTTTTGAGACAGCGTTTCGCTCTTGTTGCCCAGGCTGGAGTGCAATGGCTCGATCTGAGCTCACAGCCACCTGCACCTCCCGGGTTCAAGTGGTTTTCCTGTCTCAGCCTCCCAAGTAGCTGGGATTACAGGCATGTGCCACCATGCCCAGCTAATTTTGAATTTTTAGTAGAGACAGGGTTTCTCCATGTTGGTCAGGCTGGTCTCAAACTCCCGACCTCAGGTGATCCACCTGCCTCGGCCTCCCAAAGTGCTGGGATTACAGGTGTGAGCCACACGTCCGGCATATATATCCATATATATACATATCCATATATATATATACACATATATATATACACACATATATATATATATATATTTTTAACTAACAGGGTGTGGTGGCATGCGCCTGCAGTCCCGGCTACTCAGGAGGCTGAGGCAATAGGTTAGCTGAGGCCAGGAAGTCGAGGCTGCAATGAGCTGTGATCACGCCACTGGACTTCAGCTTTGGCTGAACTAAGACCCTGTCTCAAAAAAACACAAAAAACAAAAAGGAAGACATTTGAAACTGTGGAAACACATTAAACCATTTAGGAAGGCAGTATAGCATTTGAGTGTTGGAGCCCTGAAGAATGCTGTATTTATGAGAAAGAGAAGGTATAACGGAGCTTGAGATAGGAGTAGAAGCAGGAGACACCCTGGTTCTAGAGGCCAAGGGAAGACACGAGGAGGAGTTACTACTGGTCAGTAAACGAGATGAGCTCTAAGCGAGGACCGATGAGTCTGAAGTTGAGTAGGTGTTGGCCACTTTTGGGGAGCAGTCTGAGAAGAGTGGCAACTCCAAAAGGGATAAGGACTGCCTAGGCAGAGACGAGGCTGATCACAGCAGTCACTCTTTAGAAGTTTGAGAATGAAGGGAAGAAGGTGGAAAAGGAAAGTGGCTTGAAAAGGAGGAGTATCTGAGACTCATCCCTGGGCTATAGCCAGGAGCTACTCTCTTCTAACCAAACAGTTGTCTTACACAGCTGTGCATGACAGCAAGAGAGGGGGTTGAGCCCCATTTATTTCCTAATCACAAAACTCCAGGCCTAAACTACCATCTGGTAAGAGAAGAGGGAGACTTAATCTCTTATCAGATGCAAATGTGGCCTCAAAAGATATGGCTATGTCTTCTACAGGCGCATAAACTCCAACCCTGAACCCCAAACAAAATGACAAAATAAAACTGCCCCCTTCAGCGCCTTCACAATCTGGAAAGTGCGCGCAGGTGCGCCCCGGCCGCCCGGAGTCCTGCATCCTGCCGGCCTGCTTTCACAGAGCCGCTCCCGCGCCGCGCCTGGCGGCTCCCGCCGCGCGTAGGCTGTGCCGACCGCGGTCCCCGGTGGGGACACCGAGTCCCACTCGCGGCGTAGGGAGGCGGGCACCGTCACGACACTGGTCCGGCCCGCGGATCCCTTGGCCGCCGCAGTTGGCCTCCATTACCCTTTCCCGCGCCGCGCCTCCCCGCGGGGAAAATGAAACCTAGTGCCCTCAGGTTGAGACACAGGGTGGGATCCACTGTCTTCTCACTTAGCCAAGAGAAAAGACAGAACCGACTTCAGACAGCAAAGGGGTGTGTTGCCCTGGCCGGGTCGCCTGCGGCCCCGCCCCGGCGCTCTCCACCTCCTTCGCGGCCCGCCCTCTTGGCTCCCGCGACTACATTTCCCAGAGGACGCCGCGGCTCCGAGGGGCGGGCCCGTCCGCTCTCCCGCTCACGACCACCGGCGACTGGTTGACTCGGCAGGGGGCGGGGCCTGCGCCAGCCAATAGACGGGAGGCTCGTTACGGCGGCGGAAGCAGCGGCGCTGGAGTGAGGGGTGGGGGGCAGAGTGCTAGCTCCCCGGCGGTGGCTGCGGGTCCGGAACCTGGGGACGTCGGCCCCGCAGACAGAGAGCGCGCGGGACCGAGCTCAAGGCGGCGCGGCGGCCACTCGGCGCAGCACCCAGGTAATGGCGGGACGGGAGCCCGGGAGGGAAGGGGAGGAGATGAGGGGGCGGGGCGGCCGAGCCGGGCTGCAGCGTCCGTCCCGTTGCGCGTCCCCGGGGAAGGGCAGAGGATCCTCGTCTCCTGCAGCTCGGACCGCGGCTCTTTGGCGAGCTGGGCACGGCAGTTGGGCCGGCGACAGGGGCTGGGTGTCCTGTGGCGAGGAAGGGAGAGGCACCGGGAGGGGTGGGCTGACCCGGGCGTGGGGGCGTGGCGGACGTGGGCCTTGGCGGGGAAGCAGAGCGGTCGGGGGAGCGCGGGCGGGCGGGCGGCCCAGGGAGTTTGGCTCCTGGAGCAGTTTAAAGTGACTCTCCACATCCGGGCCCTGCGCCCGCCGCTTCCAGACCCTGGCCGAGGCGGGGCCTCCCCGCTCCCCGCCCCCCTCGCCGGGGGCGCCTGTCTTCCTTTGCCATTGGTTCAGCCTCGAGGGGTTTGGGCTGCCCCGGCCAGGCTCGCGCCTGATTGGCTGGCGGTCGGCGGGAGGGTGGGGCGGGTCCTGACCGTGTAGGTCGCTGCGGATTGGTCCTGGGCCTCCACTGACGCGCCGGGCGTGGGGCCAATGGGCGGGCGGGGGAGGCAGGGGCAGGTTCGGGGGAAGAGGACTGCGAGCACCGCGGCGGCCGGGTGTTGGGGGTGAGTGGGGCCAGCGGGGCTGGACAGCGGCGGGCCCCGGGCGCCGCCGCCGCGATCCCTCCCCGCGCCCCCCGAGCGCATCGCCGCCGCCGAGATGGGCCCTCCGCGGCACCCCCAGGCCGGCGAGCTAGAAGCGGGCGGTGCGGGCGGCGGGCGGCGGCTACAGGTAAAGAGGCACAGTGCTCGCCTTGTGGTCGGGTCCCCAGAACGCCCGTCCGCACCCCTACCCCGGAGACGGGGGTCTCGCACTCCGAGGTGTCTGGAAATCGGCGTCCTCCCATCTCAGCGGGGGCTTCGCGGTGGGGTGGGGTTGCGGGCGAATCAGGGGAGATCGCTTGGCTCCTGGGGGAAAAGTGGGGGACGATTTTAGGGAAGATGGAGAAGGTGTAGGGTCCTCTGGCTCTGTGCGGGGGTCTATGAAAGGGAAAGAAAAGGAAATCTGTAAATGGAGGCCTTTGCAGAAAAGCATTGGAGAATTCCTTTTGCATCAGGTCTGAATGTAAAACATCCGATCCTTTCTTAGGGCTGGGTATCTTCCTCCGAATGTTCCTATGACATGCTAATCACAGTTCTGTTCACCTTGGTGTGAGGTTTGAGTGTTTCGAAGAGACATGCCATTTTCCATAAAACTTTACACAGAGAAATACACATGCATTGTGGTAATACCTGTCATGTGACTCTTGTACAGGATTCAATGGTGATTTTTTTAGCATGGCAATCCACAAGTATTTATGGAGGGTTATAGTACACGCCAGCTCCGTATAAACGATATTGGTAGAAAACTTAGGTAGTTTAGATAATGTCTGCATTTATATTGATCCTAAGGTATTGTTTTTAAATAGATGATGCAACATTTGCTTTTCGGAGGGACTATCTCATAGGTACTAAAGATGCTTTAATTTCTCAATATTGATTCAGATCTCAGAATCTAGTAATAACCATATAACTGTATGTACTACAGGTGGAAATGAGTTCTCAACAGTTTCCTCGATTAGGAGCCCCTTCTACTGGGCTGAGCCAGGCCCCTTCTCAGATTGCAAACAGTGGTACTGCTGGATTGATAAACCCAGCTGCTACAGGTGAGATATGTAATATTCTAATATATTTCTTCCAACTTTAGGAATATTGCCAGTTTTCTAACTTAAAAATTAGCAGATTCCTTCTAGGATTTTAGTAAATTCTTATTTCTTGAATTTGAAGAAAGGGTATATTACTATTCTAATTTAAACAAGGCTTTTTTTCTTCCTGTTTTAACCACTTCATTCACATAGTGTACACATGCAACTTATAGCAAAGCGTGCCTGTAAGAACTATTTTTGAAATGCGTTAATATATTCATGTTTAATTAATGTCCAAGAGTATAGCATTAGTGCTGTGAGGGAGCCCGGAGTTGTTTAAGGAACAGATCTTGCCTTTTAGGAGTTTATTATCAAGGAAAAGAAGTGGAAAACAAAGGATATGCGGTTTCCCTATGGTGTCTGTGGGGGATTGGTTCCAGGACCCACCTCAGATACCAAAATCCATGTTGCTCCACTTTGTGATGTAAAATGGTATAGTGTTTACATATTACCTGTGTCTATCCTCCAGTATACTTTAAATCATCTCTAGGTTACTTGTAATGCCCACTACAACGTAAATAGTATGTAAATAGTTGTTATACCGTATTGCTAAAGAGAACAATGAGAAGACAAAAAAGTCTGTATGTGCTTAGTACAGATGCAACCATATTTTATTTTTCCTGCTGAATATTTAACATCCAAAGTTGGTTGCATTCACATCAGGGAACCCATGGATACAGAGGGCTGATTGCATACACACAGATAAGACTTGGTTTTTTGTCTCATGCCCTTTGAGTGGTAGAAATCAGTGGTTCTCAGTGACAGGTGTTTGGGGAGGTGGTTTTTCCTGCAGGGGAATACTTGGCAATATCTAAAGACAGTTTGGTTGTGACAACTCAGCAGTGCTATTGGCATCTGGTAGGTAGAGGCCAGGGATACTGCTTCACATCCTACAAGATAACGGGAAGCCCCCACAACAGAGAGGTATCCAGTCTAGTCAGCAGCGCTGAAGTTGAGGAATTCCTTCAAATACTCTTTTTCTCTACATATTAAGTAAATATATGACATTGCAAAGTGGAATAAACTATTTTCTATTCCTTTTTCTTCACCACTCGATTCTGGTGTTCCTTATGGTACATGATACCACTGTCTACTCATTGCTTAAACCAGTAGCTGAGGCTTTTTTCTTTTTTGCAACAGGGTCTCATGCGGTCATTCAAGCGGGAGTACAGTGGCATAATCACAGCTCACTGCAGCCTCTATCTTTTGGGCTCCCCAGCTTATTTTATTTTATTTTATTTTATTTTTTTGAGATAAAGTGTCACTCTGTGGCCCAGGCTGGAGTGCAGTGGCTCTATCTCAGGTCCCTGCGGTCTCTGCCTCCTGGGTTTAAGCGATTCTCGTGCCTCAGCCTCTGAGTAGCTGGGATTACAGGCATGCGCCACCATGCCTGGGTAATTTTTTTTTTTTCTTTTTTGTATTTTTAGTAGAGACAGGGTTTTACCATGTTGGCCAGGCTGATCTCGAGCTCCAGACCTCAAATGATCCACCTTCCTTGGCCTCCCAAAGTGCTGGGATTACAGGCATGAGCCACCACACCCAGCCACATGTTCAGCTAATTTTAAACTTTTTTGTAAAGAGAGGATCTCACAGTGTTGCCCAAGCTGGTCTCAAACTCCTGGACTCAAGTAATCCTCCATTGTCAGCCTCCCAAAGTGTTAGGATCATAGGTGTGAGTCACTGTGCGGGGCTGGAGGCATCTTTAATTGCTCTGCGTTTTTTTTTTTTTTTTTTTTGAGACGGAATCTTGCTCTGTCGCCGGGGCTGGAGTACAGTGGCCGGATCTCAGCTCACTGCAAGCTCCGCCTCCCGGGTTTACGCCATTCTCCTGCCTCAGCCTCCCAAGTAGCTGGGACTACAGGCGCCCGTCACCTCGCCCGGCTAGTTTTTTGTATTTTTTTAGTAGAGACGGGGTTTCACCATGTTAGCCAGGATGGTCTCGATCTCCTGACCTCGTGATCCGCCCGTCTGGGCCTCCCAAAGTGCTGGGATTACAGGTTTGAGCCACCGCGCCCAGCCTAGCTCTGCGTTTTCTTATGAGCTGCTGCCCTTGTCTGATGTTCCAGCCTCATTTCTTATTTTGCCTTCCTCCTGCCAACTTAGTTTTTTTTTTTCCCAATGGAGTTGAAGTCTTGCTATGTTGACCAGGCGTGTCTCAAACTCCTGGCCTCAAGGAATCCTCCCACCTAGGCCTCCCAAAATGTCTGGGATTACAGGTGTGAACTACTTACGTGGCCGCCAACTTAGTTTTTGTTGTAAATTTATTTTCTCTTTAGACTTGAAGTGACTTTAAGCTACTTTATGACTCCTGCTCAATGGTATCTACTCATATTTCTAAATAAATGATTAAAAAGTTCCCAATTTCATGACGTGGGGACTTTGCACATTTTTTTCCTTTTGCCATAGTCTGTCTTCTTCCTTTCCATATAGTTGCTTATTTGGCTAATTCCTTCTTTTTTCAGGTTTCAACTTAGATGTTATTTTCTCTAGAAGAAAATCATTATTATTCTGTAGCATAACAGAGACTTTATCTTCTACAACAACTCAGGTGGAGGATCTAGAAATAGAACCAGACATATATAGCCAATTGATTTTTGATAAAAGTGCCTAAGTAATTCAATAGGGAAATGATAGTCTTTTCTTTTTTTTTTTGAGACGGAGTCTCGCTCTGTCGCCCAGGCTGGAGTGTAGTGGCGCGATCTCAGCTCACTGCAAGCTCCGCCTCCCGGGTTTACGCCATTCTCCTGCCTCAGCCTCCCAAGTAGCTGGGACTACAGGCGCCCGTCACCTCGCCCGGCTAGTTTTTTGTATTTTTTTAGTAGAGACGGGGTTTCACCGTGTTAGCCAGGATGGTCTCGATCTCCTGACCTTGTGATCCACCCGCCTTGGCCTCCCAAAGTGCTGGGATTACAGGCATGAGCCACCGTGCCCTATAAGTCTTTTCAGTGAAATAGTGCTGGAAGATCACAACAACATTATGGGAGGATAAAGGCCGGGCACAGTGGCTCATGCATGTTATCCCAGCAACATGGAAGTCCGAGGCAGGTGGATCGCTTTGAGCTCAGGAGTTTGAGATAAGCCTGGGTAACATGGCAAATCCCCATTTCTACAAAAAATACAAAAATTAGCCGGGGCCAGGCTAATTTTACAGTGGCTCATGCCTGTAATCCCAGCACTTTGGGAGGCTGAGATGGGTAGATCACCTGAGGCCAGGAGTTCAAGACCAGCTTGGCCAACATGGTGAAACCTGTCTCTACTGAAAATATAAAAATTAGCTGGGCGTGGTGGTGGGTGCCTGTAATTCCAGCTACTTGGGAGGCTGAGGCAGGACAATCACTTGAACCTGGGAGGCAGAGGTTGCAGTGAGTCAAGATCGTGCCACTGCACTTCAGCCTGGGCAACAAGAGCAAGACTCCATCTCAAAAAAAAAAAAAAAAAAAAAGCCGGGTATGGTGGCTCATGCCTGTGGTCCCAGCTTCTTGACAGGCTGAGGCGGGAGGATCTCTTGAGCCTGGGAAGCGGAGGTTGCAGTGACCTGAGATCTTACTACTGCACCCCAGCCTGGGTGACAGAGTGAGATCCTGTCTTCAGGAAAAAAAAAAAAAACAAGAACTCATAACTCAGTAGTGAAAGACAGACAACCTGATTTTTTTTAAATGGGAAAGTATTTGAGTAGATACTTCACCAGAAGAGCTAGATAAGTGCCAAAGAAGCACATGAGAAGATGCTCACCATTATTAATCCTCCGGGCAGTGCAATTTAAAACTGCTAAGAAACTACTGCACATCCATTAGAAAGACCGAAATTACAGAGACTGACAATACCAAGCATTGGTATGGTTGTGGCACAAATAGAACTCACGCTTTATTGTTGGAAATGCAAAATGGCAAACCACTTCCAGAAACAGTTTGGCAATGTCTTATGCAGTTAAATATACACTTACCACAGCACTGAGCAATCTCATTCCATAGGTGTTTATCAAAGGTAAATGAAAACGTGTGTTCGTACAAGGACTTATACTCACATGTTCATAGAAACTATATTCATAATAGCCAAAACAGGAATCTCACCAAATGTGTATCAGATGGTGACTGGATGAGCAAATTGTTGTGTATCCATCCATGCAGTGGAATACTACTTGGCAATAAAAAGGACCAGACTACCGACACACACAACATTATGGATAAACCTCAGTAACGTTACACTAAGGAGAGATTCCAGATACATAGGACTCCAGATGGTATGACTGTGTTATATGAAATTCCGGAAAAGATTATATACCATAGTGACAGAAAGCAAATCAGTGGTTTCTGGGGAATAGAGGTGGCAGAGAGGGAATTGATTACAAAGGGGTATGAATGAACTTATTGCAGTAACAGGAAATGATCTGTGTCATGATTGTGTTATACCATTGTATACTTTTGCAAACATTTATCTAATGTTACACAAAGAATTAGTGAATTTTATGTGTAAATTGTACCTCAGTAAAGCTAATTGATTAAAGTGGACAACAGATAAACATGCACTTCACTAAAGAAGATATATATGAATGGGCTGTGATCACATAAAAAGATGTTCAACATTACTAGTCGTCATGGGAATGCTAATTAAAACTACAGGGAGACACACACTACAACCCACTAGAATGGCTGTATATCAAACGTGAGTAAGGAAGAGGAGCGGCTGGAACTCGCGTATACTGCTAATGGGAACAGACAGTGCTACAATCGCTTTGGAAATTACTTTGGCAAAGTTAAACATATACTTACCATTTGACCCAACCATTCTCTTTGGTGTTACTGAGGATATTTGTAAAAAAATTATTGAACTTTTCTTGTAAAACGGTGGTGTTATTCTATGTAATTTATTCCCCAATGAAGAGGTTTTATAGATGAAAATTTTTAAAATTCTGAATGACCTGGGAGAAAAGTCAATATATAGCGAAAAAGAAAATGTATATCAGTCTTTTCTTTCCTCTTGTTTTTTTTTTTTTTTTTTTTTTGAGATGGAGTCTCGCTGTGTCGCCCAGGCTGCAGTGCAGTGGTGCCATCTCGGCTCACTGCAGCCTCCACCTCCCGGTTTCAAGCAATTCTCCTGCCTCAGCCTCCCGATTAGTTGGGACTATAGGCGCCCACCACCACACCCAGCTAATTTTTATATTTTTAGTAGAGATAGGGTTTCACCATATTGGCCAGGCTGGTCTCAAACTCCTGACCTTGCGATCCACCCGCCTCGGCCTCCCAAAGTGCTGGGATTACAGGCTTGAGCCACCGCGCCCGGCCTTATCAGTCTTTTCATCCAGCACTTGTACTTTTAGAAACGTTTTCCTGAAGAGATCTCTGGACAAGATTGTTGATAAAAGCAAAAATTTGGAAATAACCTAAAAGCCCATCAATGATACAGTGATTTTAAAAGCTATAGTACATCTATACAATAGAATCCCATTTCACCTTTTTTTTTTTGAGACGGAATCTTGCTCTGTTGCCCAGGCTGGAGTGCACAGTCTTGGCTCACTACAACCTCTGCCTCCTGGGTTCAAGCGATTCTTCCGCCTCAGCCTCCTGAGTAGGTGGGATTACAGGCAACCGCCATCATGCCCGGCTAATTTTTTTATTTTTGTAGAGACGGGGTTTCACCATGTTGGATGATAGTCTTGAACTCCTGACCTCAGGTAATCCACCTGCCTCGGCCTCCCAAAGTGCTAGGATTATAGACAGGAGCCACTGTGCCTGTCCCCATTTCACCTTTAAAAAATGCAGTATTCTCTACTCAGTCGTTCCACTCCTAGGTATATATTGAGTAGAAGTGATACATGTGTTTACCAGAAGACATGTACAGGAACATTACTAGCACTATTCAAAATAGGAAAAAACTGAAAACTATGTAAAGTGCCTCTTAAGAGTAAAATGGATAATTTGTACGTTGCTCACACGTCATACTGTATACAGCCTTGAGAATGAAAGAGCTACAGCTGTGTACACTAACGTGGATGAATCTCATACCTGTATGTTAAAGAGGCAAAGCACAATAGGGTGTATTTGTTATGAGTCTGTTTATATCAAGTTCAAAAACAGAGAATACTAATCTATAGTGTTACAAGGTAGACGATTGCTTTCCTTGGGAGGATAGTGGCTAGAATAGGGCCAAACTAAGGGTCTCGGGGAGCCCAATAATGTTTTCTGTCTTGAGCGGGGTGCTATTTACTCAGGTGTATTCAGTTTATGAAAGTCCATTGAGCTGCACAACTAACATTTGTGCACTTACCTTTGTGAAGATCATACTTCAAGGAAAAAAGTCAAATGAATAAAAACCCACCCAAAATTTAAAAGAGACGAGAACTGTCACCAGAACTTTAAGTGTTGGTGCCTTTGTGGGGTGAGTTTGGGGACAACTTTACTTTGTTTATGGTACTCCAAATAATTTACATTCTCTACATCAGTAAATATCTTTATGCTCAGGAGAAAAAGAATATTAATATTTTGGAAAAATTATAGACAAATATGAGTTAATATTTTCACAAGCTCTTCTTTTATTACATTAGTATTGTTCTCTGATTTTTTTCCACTTAATTTTTTTTTTTTTGACGCAGAGTCTTGCTCTTGTTCCCCAGGCTGGAGTGCGGTGGCGGGATCCCCAACCTCCGCCTCCCGGGCTCAAGCGATTCTCAGGCCTCGGCCTCCTGAGTATCTGGGATTACAGGTGTGCACCACCACACCTGGCTATTTTTTATATTTTTAGTAGAGACAGGGTTTCACCATGTTGGCCAGGCTGAGCTTGAACTCCTGACCTCAAATGATCTCCCTGCCTTGGCCTCCCAAAGTACTAGTACTGGGATTACAGGCGTGTGCCACCATGCCCGGCCTCCACTTAATTTTTAAATATTTAATTTTTAAATAGGCCAGGTGCGGTGGCTCACACTTATAATCTCAGCACTTTGGGAAGCCAGAGGTGGGAGGAACACTTGATCCCAGGTATTCAAGACCAGACTGGGCAGCACAGTGGAACTCTGTCTTCATAAAAAAATAAAAGAATTAGCCAGGGGTGGTGGTGTGTGCCTGTAGTCTAGCTGCTTGGGCAGCTGAGGCAGAAGATCACTTGAGTCCAGGAGTTTGAAGCTACAGTGAGCTGATATCCACTGTGTTCCAGCCTGGGAGACAGAGTGAGACCTTGTCTCAAAAAAATTTTTTTAAAAATTAAAAAAAAAGGCCGGGCGTGATGGCTCAAGCCTGTAATCCCAGCACTTTGGGAGGCCGAGACGGGCGGATCACAAGGTCAGGAGATGGAGACTATCCTGGCTAACACGGTGAAACACCATCTCTACTAAAAAAATACAAAAAAAACTAGCCGGGCGAGGTGGCGGGCACCTGTAGTCCCAGCTACTTGGGAGGCTGAGGCAGGAGAATGGCGTGAACCCGGGAGGCGGAGCTTGCAGTGAGCTGAGATCCGGCCACTGCACTCCGGCCTGGGCGACAGAGCAAGACTCCGTCTTAAAAATAAAAAGAAAAAAAAAAATTAAAAATAAAAGTTTAATATGTTATGTCTTCTGATAGTCCAAAACACCAAGAGAAAAAGAGCATACAGTGGAAAATATGTCTCCTATCTCTGTCCTTAAGTTTTGGAAAACTCTATGTTCTTAAAGTTAGGAACTGTACTTAAAATATCTTTTTTTTAATTTTTTCTTTTTTTGAGACGGAGTCTCACTCTGTTACCCAGGCTGGAGTGCAGTGGCGCAATCTGGGCTCACTGCAACCTCCCATCTCCTGGGTTCAAGCGATTCTCCTGCCTCATCTTCCCGAGTAGCTAAGATTATAGGTGTGTACCACCACGCCTGGCTCATTTTTTTGTATTTTTAGTAGAGACGGGGTTTCACCATGTTGGTCAGACTTGTCTGGAACTCTTGACCTCAAATGATCCGCCCGTCTTGGCTTTCCAAAGTACTAGGATTACAGGCGTGAGCTGCCGTGCCCAGACCGCCACCACCTTTTTTTTTTTTTTTTGAGACAGAGTCTCACTGTGTCATCCAAGCTGGAGTGCAGTGGCACAATCATGGCTTGACTCACTGCAGCCTTGACCTCCCAGGGTTAAGTGATCCTCTTCCCTCTGCCTCCAGCATAGCTGGGATTACGGGTGCGTGCCTCCATGCCCATTTAATTTTTATATTTTTTACAGAGATGGAGTCTTACTGTGTTACGAAGGCTGGTCTTGAACTCCTGGGTTCAAAGGATCTGCTTGCCTTGGCCTCTCAAAATGCTAGGATTGCAGATGCGAGCCACTGCACCAGCCATACATTTTTTGTTTTGTTTTTTTTTTGGAGACAGTCTTCCTCTCTCGCCCAGGCTAGAGTGCAGTGACGCAATCTTGGCTCACTGCAACCTCTGCGTTTTGGGCTCAGGCGATCCTCCCACCTTAGCCTCCCAAGTAGCTGGGATTACAAAAAAAGTGTTTTTTTGTGTTTTTTTTGTTTTTTCTATTTTTGTATTTTTAGTAGAGTTAGGGTTTTGCCATGTTGGCCAGCACAGCATAAAATATCTTTTTAATGTCAGGCTTTTATAACTTTTTAAGAAGATGTTTTAAATGAAATTGTCTTATACTCTGTATTGTACTTTTAACTATTTCAGCTCATTTTAGATGATTTTCAGGTAGTTTATTCATAAGGCTACAATATCCAGAATGAATTCTACATTCCACAGTTGTGGCTCTTCTGTCTGATGTCCATCAGGAGAATCCAGTGCCCAAATTGACCCTGTTAAGAAAACATCACAAGGAAGTGGCCACTTGGTCGATCCTGAGATTTAACTTCAGGTGCCACTCTTGTTTGTGCCGTTATCTTACATTGGGAGACTGTGACATACTGTCTCACGTTTAATGTCTTTACTAGTCAATGATGAATCTGGTCGAGATTCTGAAGTCGGTGCCAGGGAGCACATGAGTTCCAGCAGCTCCCTCCAGTCCCGGGAGGAGAAGCAAGAGCCTGTCGTGGTAAGGCCCTATCCACAGGTGCAGATGTTGTCTACACACCATGCTGTCGCATCAGCCACACCTGTTGCAGTGACAGCCCCGCCAGCACACCTGACGCCAGCAGTGCCACTTTCATTTTCGGAGGGACTTATGAAGGTAATGGAGAGGGTTAAAACTTCACACTGAACCAGAGCTCAAGACTGGCTCATCTCTATAACAATTTGTACAAAATCTTAGGCTGTATCTTAGGATCGTATTTCATTTTTCCTTTATGACCTATGAGTTCAGCACCCCTCTGTAACTCAGCCCTGATTTTCTGCAGTGCCTCGTCTTGTGCTACTGGGCCGTTGGCATCACAGAATCTTTGCTGTTATCCATTTTGATACTGATATTATTCAACCTATGGGCATGTTAAGTTAGATAAGGGACCCTCTTTTTTTTTTTTTTAAGCCAGTCAGATTTAGCAGTGGGGGCTTAATGACACTAATTTTTTTTTTTTTTTTCTTTTTGAGACAGGGTCTTTCTCTGTCATCCAGGCTGGAGTGCAGTGGTGCAATCTTGGCTCACTGCAACCTCCACCTCCAAGGTTCAAGCAGTTCTCCCGCCTCAGCCTCCCAAGTAGCTGGGATTACAGGCACACGCCACCACGCCTGGCTAATTTTTGTATTTTTAGTAGAGACGGGGTGTCACCATGTTGGCCAGGCTGGTCTCAAACTCCTGGCCTCGAGTGATCTGCCCACCTTAGCTTCCCAGAGTGCTGGGATTACAGGTGTGAGCCACCACACCCGGCTGACAGTGATGTTGTAAGTTCTGATAACCCAGTATCATGGGACCAACTGGAGTAGCACTCTTCCTTAAGGTCTGTTTTAGCAACTGGTTAATTTGGGGGTTTCTGAGAATATCGCCTGTGCGTTACCTGGGGGTTCTGTTTCAGTTACTGGGAGTTTTGTTCAATCCACCCAGACTTGGGAGGCGGCATCATGTAGAAGAAAGGGTGTGGGCTGTGAGCCATACAGCTCTGGGCTTTGTTCCCAGTTCTTCTTACTGTGTGTGTGGCTTTGAGCAAGTCAGTTAGCCTTGCTTTGTATGTTTCTTTAATCTGTGAAATAGAAATGCTAGTACTTCAGTGGAAACACTGTGATGCTAATAGATAAAATGTATAAAGCTTATGGCATCTTCCCTGGCACTCTCCAGGTTCGATTTGTGTACTCTTAATTCTGGATTGAGACGCATCACCAGTATGAGGCCATTGATACGTTTTGTGTGGTTTTCTGTTTGTAGCCGCCCCCGAAGCCTACCATGCCTAGCCGTCCCATTGCTCCTGCTCCACCTTCCACCCTGTCACTTCCGCCCAAGGTTCCAGGGCAGGTTACCGTTACCATGGAGAGTAGCATCCCTCAAGCTTCAGCCATTCCTGTGGCAACAATCAGTGGACAACAGGTTTTTCTTCCTTTTAATTTGCTGATTTTCAACTGAAATGCCAAACTATTGATCATGATTTATTGAATGCTAGCAGTACATTAGGCACGGTAATAAAAAAAGATTAAACACTCACTGATAACCTGCAAGGGAAGGTAGTAGGTTTGAGAGAGAAGGATAACTATAGGGAGTAGAAGCCAGTATCCATAGTGGTCATTTAGCTAGAATTTATGGAGCAGCTACTAGCTGCTCGATTCGACCCTCAGTGTGATGTATAAATCTGGATAAAACAGTCCGTGTCCTTGAGTCCGGAGTGTGGTTTGTGTTTGATTTTAGCGTCAAGAACAGCCTCCCAGGGGTAGTGGTGGGCAGTGCTTCTCTGTGGTTTCTCTGAGGAGAGCAGATGTGCATCTTTTGGGGTACTGGTAGGTTACCTCAAGCAGCTCTCTAGTTGCAAACTTTTTTTTTTTTTTAGGGACAAAGTCTTACGCTGTCACCCAGGCTGGAATGCAGTGGTGCGATCTTGGCTCACTGCAACCTCCACGTCCCGTGTTCAAGCAATTCTCTTGTCTCAGCCTCCCAAGTGGCTGGGATTACAAGCGTGCGTCACCACGCCTGGCTAGTTTTTTTATTTTAATAGAGACGGGGTTTCACCATGTTGGCCAGGCTGCTCTCCAACTCCTGACCTCAAATGATCCGCCCGCTGTGGCCTCCCAAAGTGCTAGGGTTACAGGCATGAGCCACTGCACCTGGCCTTAGTTGCGAACATTTATTTTGAAGTCTTCTGTTTTAAGGTTTTTTTGTGAAATTTTGCAATCCTATTCTGCTGTGTACTTGATTAATTAAATATTTAAAATTTTTTACCTGGGGGAAAAAAATAAATCTAAAAACTTTCCCTTCACGTTTTCAAGAAGAATTTATATTCCAAAGAGGTGTACTGTGTTTTTTCCTTTTGTCATACTGCTGAGTACTCTCAGAAGTACCAGAGCCCTTAGCTGAGAAGCACTGTGCTCTGTGGTTTGGGAGAATGTGAGTAAGGGACATTTCAGGGTTGAGCTGAAGAACTGGTAGCGGAGCACCTGTTGGATGCTAACTGACATTTACTTAGAAACACAAAGCTTAAAGAATGGATGGATGCAGTGGTATGTAAAGGAAATTGTGAGAATGGGAAAAAATAAGCATTTGGCCAGGACAGAAAAAACAAGTGTGAAAGGTAGTATCACAGATGAGAGTTTCTAAAAGTAGACCTCAAAGTATATTATCTGTTATTATTTGGGCCTGCAGCAGTTGTGGGGTCCTCATACTTCTCACATACCTGTTAGCACAGTTCATTATACAGTACAGCATGTAAAAGTAACTCAAGCTAAATGTCCTTAGCCCTTTCCCTTGGGATACTCACTATCTAAAAGAAAAAACCTGACCCACATTTGGAGGCAGGTGACTTCCTAGAGGCAGTGGCTAAGACCAAACATGGGAAAATAACATTCTATCCTCTTTCTTTCAGGGCCATCCCAGTAACCTGCACCACATCATGACTACAAACGTGCAGATGTCTATCATCCGCAGCAATGCTCCTGGGCCCCCTCTTCACATTGGAGCTTCTCATTTACCTCGAGGTAACGACTTGCAAGTTTTATTCAAACTCTCAAAATGCCGTAGCAGATATACATTTGGTAAAATATATCACACAGAATGTGTCTAGAATCAGCTTGTTAAAGTTGCAGGACAACAGTCTGCAGAATCGTGAACCAAGTAAACCTCTTTTATTTAAAAAGAAAAAAAGGCCAGGTGCTGTGGTTCATGTCTATAAACCCAACACTTTGGGAGGCTGAGGTGGTAGGTTCACTTGAGTCCGGGAGTTCGAGACCAGCCTGGGCAACATGGCGAAACCCTGTCTCTGCAAAGATACAAAAAATTAGCCAGGTGTGGTGGCAAGTGTCTGTAGTCCCAGCTATCAGGAGGCTGAGATGGAAGGATGGCTTGAGCCTGGGAGGCAGAGGTTGAAATGAGTTGAGATTGCGCCGCTGCACTCCAGCCTGGGTGACAGAGTGAGAATCTGTCTCAAGAAAAAGAAAAAAAAATTGCGAGACAGTGGAAATAAACTTAGAGCAATCCATGTTTTTAGCATGGTTTAATATGTGCTTATTATAGTTGCATTACAAGTGTGTATACTTAGGCAATTAAAATGTTTAATATGGTCTAAAATTGTCCTTTATATTGAGGAACTCCCCAAGCTTTGATAATCTCAACATGGTCTTTATTATTATTAGACTGCTTATCTGCAACATGGTCTTCATTTTTAATACATAAGTCACAAATACTAATACTAAATATTTTTTAAGTTCAAAGATGATCTTTACCAAGTTTTTTAACTTACGTAACAATAAGATGATGATGATGGTTATTTTTTGAGACGGAGTCTTACTGTGTTACCCAGGCTGGTCTCAAACTTCTTGGGCACAAGCGATCTTCCCGCTTTAGCCTCTTGAGTGGCTGGGACTACAGGTGTGAGCCACCACACTGGCTAAGAGTAATTTATTTTTACACTTAAGTTCTAGTAGGTTGTGAGGTAATAAATGAGTTTTGACTAGAAAATTTTACCTTTTATTGGAGAGTGTGAAACAGTTGGAGATAGTTGGCAAAATCAAGTTAGCACACATAAGACCAGGTTTGCTTAGTTATAGCATAACTCAGTGTTTCTCCAAATGTGGTCCACAGACCCACAGGGGGTCTGCTGGGTGAAAACTGCAGGGTTCGGGTTAGGGTTGAGGTTAGGGTTCATAATGTGTCCCTTTCGCAATGTTGACGTCTGCTCTAATGGAACAAAGACAGTGGAAGGCAAAGTACCCGAGCCCTCGTCAGAGCTGAGGCGGTGGCATCACACTGCTGTTCACTGTGTGCTTTACCGCTGTGCACACTTGCAGTTACCAGAAACAAAAAGCAGCAGCAGTTTCACTTAAGATTGTCTGTGAAGAGGCAATATAAATTATTAAATCTTTTGAATACACATTTTCTTTGTTTTCTCTGTGATGAAATGGGAAGTATACATACCATACTTCAGCTCCCTACTGATTTACTATCTGAGTTTTAGGAAATATATTGATTATTTTCCTAGGGAGTATAACTAGAATAAATATAATAAACACTTTTGTTTTTCAGGTGCAGCTGCTGCTGCCGTGATGTCCAGTTCTAAAGTAACCACAGTCCTGAGGCCGACCTCGCAGCTGCCAAATGCTGCTACTGCTCAGCCAGCAGTGCAGCACATCATTCACCAACCAATCCAGGCACGTCGGAGCCCGGGGTGCATGAAGGGCGGCATGGGAATTATTCACACCACCAGGCACTAGGCACATCCTTGACCTCAGGGACTTCCCATCGAGTTGCCAAGACATAGGGAAGTTTGAAAGATGCACAGTATCATGTGGCAAGCTGTAAGAACGCAAAGGAGAGGTGGTGGGAAGGCTTCCTGTTGGAAAGGCTGTGCTAATGAGGAATCAGAGAAGTGAAGAGGAAGTGAAGGGGGAGATGAACAGCAGCAAGGAGGCAGTGATGGTTGTAGACGGCAGTTAGTAAAGGCTGGCTAGGATTGAGGGATTTTCACTTGGATTGGGGGGATCTGTGGACTCCTAAAAGTTATGCATATATGTATGTTTGTTCCAAGAACGTGGTCCATGCCATTCAGCTTTTTTTTTTAAGGAAATCTATGGCTTCATTACTACTGAAGTATAATATATTTGCAGGAAATATAGTATCTATAATTTGGGTGCTCTAGAATATGGAATATAAACTAGACTTTTTATATACAGCAGAGAGCCACTGCGTTTTTTTGTTTGTTTTTGTTTTTTTGAGACAGAGTCTCACTCTGTTGCCCAGGCTGAAGTGCAGTGGTACGATCCCAGCTCACTGCAACCTCTGCTTCCTGGGTTCAAGTGATTCTCCTGCCTTAGCCTCCCAAGTGCTTGGGACTACAGGTGTGTACCACCATGCCCGGCTAATTTTTATACTTTTAGTAGAGACAGGGTTTCATCCTGTGGGCCAGGCTGGTCTCAAACTCCTGGCCTCAAGTGATCTGCCTGCCTTGGCCTCCCAAAGTGCTGGGATTATAGGCGTGAGGCACTGTGCTCGGCCAAAAATCTTTTTTTTTTTTTTTTAAACACAATGGCTTTGTGTATCATTGAAGTAGTATTGTTGAAAGATGAGATTAGGCTGGACACAGTGGCTCATGCCTGTAATCCCAGTATTTTGGGAGGCCAAGGCGGGCGGATTGTCTGAGATCAGGAGTTTGAAACCACCTTGGACAACATGGTAAAACCCCGTCTCTACTAAAATGTCAAAAAATTAGCTGGGCATGGTGGCGCGCGCCTGTAATCCTGGCTACCTGGGAGGCTGAGGTGGGAGAATTGCTTGAGTCCGAGAGGCAGAGGTTGCAGTGAGCCAAGATCGTGCCACTGCACTCCATCTGGGGCGACAGAGTGAGACTCCATCTCACAAAAAAGAAGAAAGATAAGATGAATCTAGCTGAATCACATACAGGAGGTCTGTCCCCTTAAGCACTTTCAAGGGAGAGACACATGTATGAAACAACTGGGTTTAAGATAATAAGGAAGAGTCTTGATTATGACACTGGGTAGTATCTCTCTAGCCTACAGCTTTCAAGATGAAATAAAAGACCTTTCTGGTCAAGAAAACAGAGTCGGAGGAGTATTAGGCGTCTAGTAGTATACGTGATACGTATGAAGGGATAGAGGGAGACGAGAATCAAGACAAGGAGCTCCCGAGTGAGGAAGCTGGTGCTGTAGCCTTAGTGTAAGACACGCACCTGCACTTGGTAGGAGCAGCAGGTAAAAGGGCTGCAGAGCTCAGCCATTTAGATGCATGTTTCAGGGTTAAGAGCGAGGGAAGAATCAGAACTCAGGTGATTCGAAGAATAATGGTGGATACGTGGATGAAGCCCAGTGTGGAGCTCATTTTTCAGAGGAAGATTTCACACATAAGTGTGATAAGGGCACTCTGTCCATGTGAAAACATCCAGAAAGCATGTGGGCACCCTGAACCATTACCTAGAAAAGAATACTGTTACTCTGAGTTGCCCCTGTACTCGCTAACGCAGATGGCCTGAGAGCCAACAGCTCTATTCAGCACCTGAGTAGGCCCTCTGTGGAGGTGTTGGGTTGGATGGCAGCATAAGTTGTCTACACCAGGACCAACAACAGACCTGTGGCAACTCTAGATTGAAGGGTGAGGTCCCAGTGGTACCAGTAGTAGGGCAGAATTTTGACTCCAATCACATTTGCACGGGAGGGACTCATGTACTGTTCAATCAAAATGAGATTTTTTTTTCCAAAACATTTGTCAATGTTGTCTTAATAAGGGATCACCTGACCTCAGGTGATCGGCCCACCTCACTGTCCCAAAGTGCTGGGATTACAGGTGTGAGCCAACGCGCTTGGCCTGGCGCTTGGTCTTATAACAACCTATCTGAAAAGAGAATTCCTTAATTGGAATGGTGAGAATTTATTTTTATTTGGGCAGAAACATACTTATCTGTAGGCTCGTTTCAAATTACACATTTAGTATTTGGCTTCCTATATTTTATTTTATTTTTGTTTTAAATGAACTGTTTTTTCTCTTTTGGTAGTCTCGGCCACCTGTGACCACCTCCAATGCCATCCCTCCTGCTGTGGTAGCAACCGTCTCAGCCACCAGAGCTCAGTCTCCAGTCATCACTACGACAGCGGCACATGCTACTGACTCAGCACTTAGGTATACACGGGGAGGATGAAGTTTGAACCTTCCTGCCTCCTCCTCCGCCTCCTCCACTCTTTTTTCTTTCATTCCTTCATTTAAGTGAATATTTATTGAGTGGCTTTTTCTTTAATGAGCTATGTAGTGTTCTAAATCCTGGGGCTAAAGCTGTGAACAAAGAAATTCCTGCCCACACAGAGCTTCTGTTTTTAGGGGCTGGAGACACAATAAATATGTAGGTTTTTAGATGGTGAAAAGTGCTTTGGAAAAAATAAGGGTAAAAGGGATTGGGAGTGACAGGGTGGGTGGTGCAGGGGACTTACAGTTTCGTGTAATGTGGTCGGAGAGAGCTTTGTTGATAATACATTTGAGTAGAAAATGAAAAGATACAATGAAATGAGTGAGCTATGTGGTTATCTGAGAGAAGAGTATTCTAGGCAGTGGCAATACTAGTAAGTGCAAGGCTCCGAGACAGGATTCTGTTTGCCACTTACAAGGAGCACCGATGAGGCCAAGGTGGCAAGAGTTAGGTTTGGGGAGGTAGCAGGGTCTCCAGATCACACAGGTCCTTAGGAGCCACGCTAAGGACATGGACTCGGCTGGGGCATGATGGAAAGCCTTAGCAGAATTTTCAGCAGAGCAATGCAATGATCTGAAGTTTCATTTGGTTCAGCCTGGTTGCTGGATAGAATAGGCTATGGAGAGGCCAAGTTAGAAGCAGAGGTTGGGTAGAAGGGTATAGCCAGCATGTAGGAGAGATGAAGATGGATGTAGAAAGACATGGTTAGATTCTGGATAGATTATATTTTTTGGAGGGAGGGTCTCGCTCTGTCACCCAGGCTGGAGTACAGTGGCATGATCATGGCTCACTGCAGCCTTAAACTCTCAGCCTCAAGTGATCCTCTTGCCTCAGCCTCCCAAGTAGCTGGAACTCCAGATGTGCACCACCATGCCTAACTAATTTTTTTATTTTCTTGTAGAGACAGGTTCTCACTTTGTTGCCCAGATTGGTCACGAACTCCTGAGCTCAAGTGATCCTCCTGTCTCCATAAGTGCTGGGATTACAGCATGAGCCACCATGCCTGGCCCTGGGTAGATTTTGAAGGATAGAGTCAGGAAGATTTCTGAGAATCACTGGAGCAGGGGGCGGGGGTATGGGAATGTGAGAAGGAGGGGAGTCAGGATTATTTATTTGCCAGTACTAATTGGCCTATACACCTAACAGGGTGGAGGAGAGTGGGATTTTTGGGAAAGGAGTTTTATACTTTGATTTTAGGCATTTTAAGGTTGTGATGGCAAGATATAGTGGCTCGTGCATGTAATCTCAGCACTTTGGGAGGCTGAGGCAGGAGGATCACTGGAGTCCAGGAGTTTGAGACCAGTCTGGGCAATATAGGGAGATCCCATCTCTATAAAAAATAAGAAAGTAGCCAGGCATGGTGATGTGTACCTGTAGTCCCAGCTACACGGGAAGCTGAGGTGGGAGGATTGCTTAAGCCCTGGAGGTTGAGTCTATAGCAAGCTGTGATCGTGTCACTGCATTCCAGCTGGGGCAACAGAGCGAGACCCCATCTCCACCAAAAAAAAAAAAAAAAAAAAAGGATTTAGGCTGGGTGCAGTGGCTCGTGCCTGTAACCCTGGTGCTCTTGGAGGCCAAGGTGGGAGAATTACTTGAGGCCAGGAGTTCAAGACCAGCCTCAGCAACATACCAGTATCCCATTTCAACAAATTAAAAAAAAAAAAAAAAAGATAAGCGTGGTTGCATGTACCTCTAGCCCTAGGTACTTGGAGGCTGAGGTGGGAGGATCATATGACCACAGGAGTTTGAGACCACATGAGCTATGATTGTGCCACTACTCTCTAGCCTGGGCGACAGAGCAAGATCCTGTCTCTAAAAAAAAAGAAGCAAAAAAGATTTGCAGAGCCATACAGGAATAAAGTCTGGTTGGTGAGGGATGATCTTAAAGGCTTTTTGTGAGTGACACAATCAGGGATGACATGATGCTGTTTTTCCTCATGATCTCCAAGTCACATTACAGGGAGGCTGGGGAGAGCAGTTGATCCTTGCCATGGGTTATATTGAGGGAAGGGAGTCTTTGGCAATAGCGCAGACAAAAAGGGATTCACTGAATCAAAGCAAGGATAGTAGGTTGGAGAGAGGAGCCGTTAGAAGCTAGGGAGGCACCACTGGGACCTGTCAGCTGGAAGCTGGGCAGAGTGGTGAGGAAGAAAGAGGAACTAGAGATGCCTCTTTGGTTTCCTCCTTACCTGTCCTAGTAAATGAGAAGGAAAACAAGGGAAGGAAAGCAGGTTTTAGAAAAGATTGAACTTTGGGATACTGAGTTTATCTGTGGAACAGCCAGGTGGCTGTTGTCAGCATGTGGTTGAAGAGGGGTCTGTGCTAGAGATAATGGGTTTGGGAGTGATCAATGCGTGGGCCACAATGAAAGCCTTCAGGTGTCTATCCAAGGGTACTAGAGAGTGAGAAGAGAACCTAGAACAGAATTCTGAAGAAAATTATATTTAAATGAACAGCAATGCCTGGAACTTATCTTTAGCCATTAGCTCTATTATTTACTTGTATGACATTAAGCAGGTTTTCAATTCCCCTGATCCTTTGTTCTCTCTTCAATAAAAGTGATACTTTACTTTGTGGCAGTTATTAATAAATGTATTACCTGAGGTACAAAGAGACAGAACCGCCCAACATAAAATAGACTACTTGTTGTTGCTCATTTTAACTTTATAAAAGTTAATATATTCAGGTGGTATGAGGAAATTCACAAGGTATAAATGGATATACAGTCATCTCTATCCATGGGGTCTTGGCTCCAGGAGCCCCTGCAGATGCTAAAATCCAAGGATGCTCAAGTTCCTTCATATAAAGTAGCGTAGTATTTGCATATAACCTACGCACCTCCTCCCATGTACTCTGATTTAATCATCTCCAGGTTACTTAGAGTGCCTATTATGATGCCTACACATCACTTCATTCATGTGGACTCTGTGTAGCACTTGGTGCTCAGCTAATTCAAGTTTTGCTTTTTGGAATTTGGGGAAATTGTTTTCCCCCTTGAATATTTTCAGTCCATGCTTGGTTGAATCCATAGATGTGGCACCTATGGGTACTGAGGGCCAACTGTATGATGAAAACTAGGGGTAGGCTTTTTATTTTTATTTTTTGGCTTTTTATTTTTAATCATATTGTCAAAGTATCTTTTCCATTGTGTTGAATGTTTTAATAAAAAACTGGATATTGAATTTTGTTGAATGCATTTTTAGCATTCACTCATATAACACTAGCAATATACTGCAAGTAGTGAAAACAAAAACCCTAATCAGGTGATTTTTCTCTTTATATCTACAATTACAATAAATTCCTAATGTCTAACTTTTTTTGAATTCTGCAGATAGAAATTTTTCAACAGACCAATTTCCATAGAAGAAATAGAAAAATTTTAAGCACTGTCTCTCACAGAAGCACCAGATCCAGCTGGTTTCATAGAATTCTTTTTTGAGACAAGGTCTTGCTCTGCCAGCCAGGTTGGAGAACAGTGGCTCAGTCACGGCTCACTGCAGCCTCAACCTCCTAGGCCCAAGTGATCCTTCTACCTCAGCCTCCCAAAGCTGCGACTACGGGCACGTGCCACCATGCACCATGCCTGGCAAATTTTAAAATGTTTTGTAGAGACAGGGTCTCCCTATGTTGCCCAGACTGGTATCAAACTCCTGGGCTCAAGCGATCCACCTGCCTTGGCCTCCCAAAGTGCTGGGATTACAATTGTGAACCACCACACCCAGCCTTGGTTTCATAGAATTCTACCAAACCTTCAAAGGGCCAGATAAACCAGCAATAAAGAAATTGGTTCAAGGTATAGAGAAAATAGTAAACTTCCAGAAAAATATGAGTCATATCTTAATTTTTCTGCTAAATACATTCACTCTGTCAGTTCTCTGACCCTTGTCTTTTCAGTCATTACTTGGTTGAAAGAAATTTATTTTCTATCACTTTCTTCAAAAAGGGCATATCTTAAAGCACCAATATTTTGAAATTTTACATGCTGAGAATCATTTCCCATTTATACTTAGGCAATAGTCTGGCTGATTAAGTGTTTTATTGTTTCTATATTCTTTCCATGACTACTCGAGGGGTCGTTTTTCCCGTGTCTTCTAGATCTGGATGTTACTGCACAGAGTCTGTTTTTTTTTTTTTTAACCCCTTACAAAGGCCTTAGTCTTTTTGCCTCATTGCCTGATTCTTTTCGTTGAATATCAGCAAATTTAATGGCATTTATTTTGTAATGCCCATTATTTATGGTTTTGTTCTGAACATGGTGTGCCTGTTCAATCTGTAGCATAAAACTGTATCTATTGGCCGGGCGCGGTGGCTCATGCCTGTAATCCCAGCACTCTGGGAGGCTGAGGCAGGCAGATCACTTGAGGTCAGGAGTTTGAGATCAACCTGGCCAACATGGTGAAACCGTATCTGTCAGCTGGGCATGGGGCCGGACGCCTTTAATCCCAGCTACTTGGAAGGCTGAGGCGGGAGAATCACTTGAACACGGGAGGCAGAGGTTGCAGTGAGCCAAGATCATGCCACTGCACTCCAACCTGGGCAACAGAGCGAGACACCATCTCAAAAGAAAAAAAGAAAAAAACTGTAATTATGAACAGTTTTTGTGAGTTATATGTTTTTTTTTTTCTTTTCGGACCTAGTCTTGTTCTGTTGTCCAGGCTGGAGTGCAGTGGCACAGTCTTGGCCACTGCAATCTCCGCCCCCACCGGGTTCAAGCGTTTCTTCCACCTCAGCCTCCCGAGTAGCTGGGATTACAGGCACCCACCAGCACCCCCGGCTAAGTTTTGTATTTTTGGTAGAGACGGGGGTTTGCCATGTTGGCCAGGCTGGTCTCGAACTCTTGACCTCAGGTGATTTGCACGCCTCAGCCTCCCAAAGTGTTGGGATTACGGGCGATTCCTAAGTGTTGAATCTTTTTGCACTCCTATGTAATTTTTTTAACTGTTCCCTTTAACGTTGTTTTCATAGTCTTCTACATCCTTGACTGCATTTTCAGCATTGTGTCTCATGTTCCACTTCTAATTTTGCCTTCATTCTTGAAACTGCTGAACAGTTGCCTTCTGTTTCTCTCTCGAGCTCTGCCTATATATTTTGTCTTCTTCTGTTGTTCTCTCATCATTTCCACTGAGCTCTTAGTCTTTGCTTTGTGTTTCCATTTCATAGAAGTGGTTACTTCATTAAGGTTTTAAATTCATGGTACAGTGTTCATCTGCGTAGTAAAAGCACTTCTGGTGTGTCTCGTTCCACCTTTTGTCTTTTAGCATCTTTAAATAGATCCTGTTTTGGATCTTTTCTGAGTATTCATCTTTGATTGGATTGACTTTATTCTGGATCCCTTATTTGTAATTGGTTCTTACTGTAGCCTGGACTCTTTACCGGGTTTGGAGAAATTTTCCAAATGACTCAGTGTCCTGCGTTTGAAATTTGTTGGCCATTACTTCATTCCTGTCAGTGCAGATAGACCACTTAAAATGGCAAAGCCTCTCTTCCCTAGGTCCCCCGCACGCAATTCCCCATAGATGGGACTTTTCTGTGTCTGTGTGATTCCTGGTTTAACCCTAGATCCTTTGCTTTTTAACCCTTGGAACTGTTCCAAATGCTGCTCCGCTGCCAGCTCCATTCCCGCTGTTACACGAAGATTCTGGTTTTCTCTGTCAGTTTGTGCTCCTCATTTTGGAGCATTATACTTCATTACTGAATTTTATCCCCAGAGTTATAGCCCCAGAAATTCTCTCTTCAGGCTGGGGAGGGTGGCTCATGTCTGTAATCCTAGCACTTTGGGAGGCTGAGGCAGGAGGATCGTCTGAGCCCCAGGAGTTGAAGACCAGCCTGAGCAACATAGTGAGAACATAGTGAGACTCTATCTCTTTTTTTAAAAAAAAAAAGAAAAAAAGAAAGCAATCCTTCCTTCATTGGCTCCTGAGTCTCTGGTTATCCCTACCTTTGGCAATTCTTCTGTCCTGTGGTTTGAGATTTCAAATGTCTCCTAATTTTGCGAAAGGAGGATACTATATTTCTCTTTTTTGTTTTCTTTACTGTTCTGAGAGGAGAAGGAGAAAATACCACACTGGCAGTCTCTGCCTACGATACCCTTGTCCTCCAAATAAGCCAGTCATACAAGGACCTATCTGAACACTGGAGGATAATCACAAGTCCATTTATCATTTAACCCCCATATTTTCTGTAGATGTCAGATCACTGAATTGGGTCTCTATCCTTGGAGTTGCCTTTCAGACTGTTAACAAAAAAAAAAAAAAAAAAAAAAGCTAATCTGTGGGAGAAGTACACAATTGGGTATCCCTAACCCAAAATCCATAATAAGCCAAAATCTGAAACTGTTTGAGCACTGACATGACACTCAAAGGAAATGTTCATTGAAGCATTTCTGCTTTTTGGATTAGGGATGCTGAGTCAGTAAGTATATAATTCCAAAATCTGAAACGCTTCTCATCCAGAACGGTTTAGATAAGGTATACTCAACCTGTAATATGGTGATTAAGACAACAGACTAGGGAGCACTTTCTGAATGACCTTACTCCCTTTGACTGTTTTTGGTATGTGTAAGTGAGTCACTATGAACCTGTCAATGTTAAATATTCAAACTGGATTTTTTTTGTTGTCATTTGTTTTTGTTTTGGAGACAGCGTCTCACTCTGTCACTCAGGCTGAATCACAACTTGATGCCCATCTATAGTCCCAGGTACTCAGGAGTCTGAGGTGGGAGGATACCTTGAACCCCAGAGGTCAAGGTTGCAATGGCGCGATCACAGCTCACTGCAACCTTAACCTCTGGGCTTCAAGCTATCCTCCCGCCTCAGCCTCCTGAGTACCTGGGACTGTAGGTGTATGCCAAGATGCCTGGTTAATTGTTTTATTTTTCGTAGAGACTGGGCCTTGCCATGTTGCTCAGGCTGGTCACAAATTTCTGGGCTCAAGCAGTCCTCCTGCCTCAGCTCCCAAAGTGCTAGGGCTGTGTGATTCTCTGCTCCCAGCCTCAAAATGTTTTAGTCAAAGTCTCTTTCTTTTGCTCCCGGTGCCCCAAATTGGGCTAGTGAGAACCCCTTTGAACTGGCTCAGATGTCTTTTTTTTGAGACCCTCTCATCTGTTGCCCAGGCTGGAGTGCAGTGGCACAGTCTTAGCTCACTGTAACCTCTGCCTCCTGGGCTCTCAAGTGATCCTCCTGCTACGGCCTCCCAAGTAGCTGAGACTACAGGTGTGTGCTACCACGCCCAGCTAATTTTTATATTTTTAGTAGAGGTGGAATTTCGCCATGTTGCCCAGGTCAGTCTTGAACTCTTGGACTTAAGCAATCTGCCTGCCTTGGCCTCCCAAAGTGCTGGGATTACAAGCATGAGCCACTGTACTGGGCCTGGCCCAAGTTTCCTTTTGATGACTCCCGTTAACCTTTGAGTACTTTATTCTTTTTGATACATGATGTATCAGGCTTTCTCCTGTTTTGTTTTGTTTTTTTTTTTCAAGTTTTCAAATCAGCCATTTCTCCTTGGTTCTTTTTAGTGGAGAGTAGTATTTGTAACCCAAGTTCTGGGTGTTAAAAGTGTTCATTGTTTCTGGTGTGTCATTGCTTTTGGGCTCTTTCTGGCGACAGAGGTACTCAGTATAGTAAAGATAGTCATGTTTTCCTGCTGATATTTTCCTCTTTATTTGTTTATTTTATTTTATTTATTTTTTTGAGACAAACTCTTGCTCTGTCACCCAGGCTAGAGTGCAGTGGTACAATCTCAGCTCACTGCAACCTCTGCCTCCCAGGTTCAAGCGATTCTTCTCCCTCAGCCTCTGGAGTAGTTGGAACTATAGACATGTACCACTGCACCTGGTTAATTTTGTATTTTTAGTAGAGATGGGGTTTTAGCATGTTGGCCAGGCTGGTCTCGAACTCGATCCACCTACCTCAGCCTCCCATAATGCTGGGATTACAGACCTGAGCGACCACGTGTTTTAAAATCTTACATTAATTAAAAATTTTTGGCTGGGCACGTTGGTTCACACCTGTAATCCCAGCACCACTGAGGCGGATGGATCACGAGGTTAAGAGATCAAGACCATCTTGGCCAACATGGTGAAACCCTGTCTCTACTAAAAATAGAAAAATTAGCCAGGCGTGGTGGCACGCTCCTGTAGTCCCTGCTACTCGGGAGGCTGAGGCAGGAGAATTGCCTCTACCTGGGAGGCAGAGGTTGCAGTCAGTTGAGATAATGCCACTGCACTCCAACCTAGCAACAGAGTGAGACTCCGTCTCAAGAAAACAATTTTTTTTTTCACTCCTTCACTGGTAATGAACACATATTGGTATTTACAGATGAAATTTAACATTAGAGTTGTTTTTTGTTTTTTGGTTTTTGGTTTTTTTTTTTGCTTTCTAAGGTTTTATACTCATTCATTACTTAATGATGGGGTTACAGTCTGAGAAATGAATGGGCAGTTTTGACATGCAAACATCGTAAGAGTATGCTTACACAAACTAGATGGTGTCGCCTGCTACACACCAAGGCTATGGTGCTCTAACTATTGCTCTTAGTTTGTAAACCTATACAGCCTGTGACTGTACTGAATACTGTAGGCAGTTGTAACACTATTATTTGTATATCTAAATACAGAAAAGGTACAGTAAAAATACAGTGGAAAAGATTTTAAAAAGGGGCACCTGTATCACTTGTCCATCTGACATAAATTAGCCTCTTACTTTTTGTAGATTACTACTAACAATAAGAATACTGAGTGAGTAACTTCACGGTTCTTTTTGTCCTCCAGCTAGATCCCACTAACCAGAGTGGCAATGGGTTTGAATGTCACTTGAAGTGATTCTTTTAATTTTATTTTATTGGAGACAGAGTCTCACTCTGTCACCCAGGCTGGAGTGCAGTGGTGTGATCACAGCTCACTTTAGCCTTGGCTTAAGCGGTCCTCGGTGTGAGCTGCCGCCTGTGGCCTCCCCTCTGATTTGAATATCCAGCTTTGTTATGTTGTCAAATTTTCTTGCCAGTGTTGCCATTTCAGTAGCTTGCTACCAATTAATTTGGCATCCTCTGTTGATTTCCCTTCCAATCCTGAGGCAGTCATAACTGTAACATTTTATCATTTTGGGAATGTTCCTACATTTGCTAAGGAATGATGTAAAATTGGGGGGAAGGTCCTTGCTTCAAAAGTCATAGTTTAAGCTGCTGTTAATCAAAGTTGTCTCTGATATTTCTTCAGGAAATTTGTCAAAAACTTATAGCGTGTAAATTTATAGTATATTTTCAGATCTATCCACAGTTAAGTGCAATTATTTTGTTTTTAATTTTTTATGTAGACAAGGTCTTACTCTGTGCCCCAGGCTGGAGTGCAGTGGCGCAGTCATCGCTCACTGTAACCCTGACTTCCTGGGCACAAGCTGTCCTCCAGCCTTGGCGCCCCCCGAAAGCACTGTGTCTACAGGTGTGAGCCACCACACCTGACCTGAAGTGCAGTTATTGTGATGATATTAACTCAAGTCCGTTTTGGAGTGTTGATTAACTATATTAAGGATACTGAGAACAACTAAGGGTTAATTTCTTCAGTTTGTGGTACAAATTGATGGCTTTTAAAACGAGACAAACTCAGTGCGCCTTTTGCCTCATTGGTGTGATTAAAGACCAAGTATTGGTTTAACTCTGAACTTCATAGACCTATGAAAAAGTATGACTTGCAGGACTGTAACCTAGCAAAAGATCGTAAATGACCTTTCCTGTCTGCATTGTGTCTTTATTATCTTTTCAGTAGGCCAACTTTGTCTATCCAGCACCCACCATCTGCAGCAATCAGTATTCAGCGTCCTGCCCAGTCACGAGATGTCACAACAAGAATCACACTACCATCTCACCCTGCATTAGGGACGCCAAAACAGCAGCTTCATACAATGGCTCAGGTAAAACCAAAGGTGGAGAACCACCTGTGTACTTGGTTGGGTAAAACCAAAAGTGGGCAAAGTGTGCTGAGGGCCTGGCAGTATTGAAGACATTGATTGTGTTTACCTGGGATGCAGTGGATAATGTTCTTATAACTGTGTTGTGGGGTTTCCCTCATAGAAAACGATCTTCAGTACTGGCACCCCAGTGGCTGCAGCCACAGTAGCACCTATTTTGGCAACCAACACCATTCCTTCAGCGACTACAGCCGGTAAGTCCATAACCCACTTCTTCCTTCTACTGGGGAAACAGAAGGCAAGAGTGGTGGGTTAATTTTTCATTTCTCACCTTCAGTCAGAGAAAAACAATGGGCTAGAAAAATTATCTTAACTTTTTCCAAGAGTTTTCCCAGGTTTTTGAGAATCTGTAATGTGTGCAGAGAAGTTCTTGTTAAAGAATTTCCTTTTTTCCCCTATTTCAGGATCTGTGTCCCACACGCAGGCTCCCACCAGTACCATTGTTACCATGACGGTGCCCTCCCATTCCTCCCATGCTACTGCTGTCACCACCTCGAACATCCCCGTCGGTAAGTGGCATGCTGCCTTTGACAGAAGCTCACACGGAGTGCTGTAGCCCCTCTGACTAGGCCTTCATGGTGATGGCTAGTATTGATTTTTACAATTGTTGATTTCCTTTTTTTTTTTCCTTGAGTCTCACTCTGTTGTCCAAGCTGGAGTGCAGTGGCGCGATCTCAGCTCACTGCAACCTCCACCTCCCGGATTCAAGCAATTCTCCTGCCTCAGCCTCCCAAGTAGCTGGGACTACAGGCATGTGCCACCATATCTGGCTAATTTTTTTGTATTTTTAGTAGAGACGGGGTTTCGCTATGTTGGCCAAATTGGTCTTGACCTCGTGATCCACCTGCCTCGGCCTCCCAGAGTACTGGGATTACAGGCATGAGCCACTGTGCCCGGCCCAGTTGTTGATTTTCAAAGCAACACTGAATATGACTTGTAACATTATGTATCATGCAGACTTGGCATTGATGGTAGGGGAAAAAGAGTATAACAATTCTTGAGTACTCAAACTTTAGTTTTGACTTGCTTTCTTATCAAACTGTACCTTTTATAAAAATAAGCAATACTGACAGACAAAAACAACAGGAAAAGCAAAGATCTGGAATGAAGAAAACTTGTAGACTTTGACAGATTGTTCAGGGAAAGTTCTCAGTGACACAACAGTGGGAAGAACACCAAAGCTCAGGTGTGTTCCCCAGGTTTTCATCTGAGTGCTGCCCTGCCGTACATCACGCCCATCCTAGAATTTCTTCTAGGCTTTCTTTATTCTTTTTCTAAGTATATGTATACTTTGAATTGTTAAAAAAAATCCCTGGAAAGTTTCTGGCAGTCCAACTTCAGTCATCGAGATCAGGGGTTTGCACACTTTCTATAAACATTTTAGGCTTTGCAGGCCACATAGGTGTGTGTCGCCACTGCTCAACTCTGTGTCGTGAAAGTAGCCGTGGACAGTATGTAAACAGACCGTGCACCGAGGAGACTCTGCTTATGGATGGAGAAATTTGATTTCTTTCTTTTTTTTGTTTTTTTTTTTTGAGACGGAGTCTCGCTCTGTCGCCCAGGCTGGAGTGCGGTGGCTGGATCTCGGCTCACTGCAAGCTCCGCCTCCCGGGTTCACGCCATTCTCCTGCCTCAGCCTCCCGAATAGCTGAGACTACAGGCGCCTGCCACCGCACCTGGCTAATTTTTTGTATTTTTAGTAGAGACGGGGTTTCACCGTGTTAGCCAGGATGGTCTCGATCTCCTGACCTTGTGATCCACCCGCCTCGGCCTCCCAAAGTGCTGGGATTACAGGCTTGAACCACCGCGCCCAGCCTTTTTTTTTTTTTTTTTTTTTTTTTTAAGAGATAAGGTCTTACTCTCTTCCAGGCTTGAGTACAGTGGCATAGTCATAGCTCACTGTAGCTGGGGCTCAAGCTATCCCCCCACCGCAGCTCCCCATTAGCTGGGACTACAGGTACCTGCCACCATACTCGGCTAATTTTTTGTTTTTTTGAGATGGAGTCTCATTCTGTCGCCCAGGTTGGAGTGCAGTGGCATGATCTCCACTTACGGCAACCACCACCTCCCGGGTTCAAGCAATTCTCCTGTCTCAGCCTCCTGAGTAGCTGGGATTACAGGCGTGTGCCACCACGCCTGGCTAATTTTTGTATTTTCAGTAGAGACGGGGCTTCACCATATTGGTCAGGCTGGTCTTGAACTCCTGACCTCATGATCTGCCTGTCTCGGCCTCCCAAAATTCTGGGATGACAGGTGTGAGCCACCATGCCTGGCCTCTGGCTAATTTTTAAAAATTTTTTGTAGACTGGGAGCAGTGGCTCACACCTGTCATCCCAGCACTTTGGGAGGCTGAGGCAGGGGGATCACTTGAGGTCAGGAATTCGAGACCAGTCTGACCAACATGGTGAAACCCCATCTCTACTAAGAAAAAAAAAAAAAAAAATTGGCTGGGTGTGGTGGCACATGCCTCTGTATTCCCAGCTACTCGGGAGGCTGAGGCAGGAGAATTGCTTGAACCTGGGAGGTGGAGGTCGCAGTGAGCTGAAATTGTGCCACTGCGCTCCAATCTGGGTGACAGAGCAAGACTCCGTCTCAAAAAAAAAATTTTTTTTTTTTTTTTTTGTGGAAACAAGGTCTTGTTGTGTTACCCAAGCTGCTCTCAAACTGCTGGCGTCAGGGAGTCCTTCCACCCTCAGCCTCTCAGAGTGCTGAGATTATAGGTGTGAGACACTGATCCTGGCCTGAGTTTCATATCGTTTTCATGAGTCACAAAATATTCTTTTGATCCTTTTGCCCTCATCCATTTAAAAGTGTTAACTCATTCTTAGCTCATGAGACAGCAGGCTGGATTGGCCTGTAAACCATAGGTTGCCAACACCTATGCAGGGGACTGATATCTCACTGCCATAGCATCCGAAGCACAGGGACTGTGGCCTCCGAGGCAGAACACAGCTTTCATTAGCCTGCCAGCTACAGGCTTTATTAATAGTTTCTAGTTTTGTCTCTGCCTTGCTTTTATAGTGAAGAGCAGGTCATCTTATTGTTCTCTACTCTCAAAAGATACATACAGGACAGCTGCCATAGCATCCACTTAGAGCTAAGACTGCTTTTTGTGAAGAGGACACCCTGACATACTGGTGACTGGACATAAAGTGTGGGTTCCGGCCTCTCTGAGCAAACTTTGAAGCCCATTTTCTGGAATAATGGTAGTACTCAGGAAGTCCCTACTCCTGTTGTAGGGTGACCGGCCTATACCAGCCCTTAAATAGGTGTTCAGCCCCACAGAAGTCCTTTAGCACAGAGGGTGCTGCTACTGGGTCTTTTCTGCATCGCTCCTCACTATGACTTGCCATTGGAGAGACCAAATTTTTTCCATAACCTTCTGAATTTAGTTCATATTTGTCAAAAGAAGTTTGTTTTGTTTGTATCTGTTTAGCATTAACACACTTGTTGAAAAAGGTAGTAAATTGTCCATATTGCCATTTCAGCCCATTTCCTTCCTCTGCCCGCGTCGTCAGCTCTCCTGAGTGCTATCATGGCAAGCCAAGCCCTGAGACACTTAATGTTTATCAAGGCAGGAGCCTCACTCGGGTATTTGAATCTATGATCGAAAGACCAGTAAAGAGGGGCCGTTGTGGCCCAGAGGGACTGTCTAGTTTCCTCCTGACCCTCCACCTTGAAGAATTTTTTAGAGATTGGTTCTTGTGAATGTCCCTCTGTCTTCCTAAGAGACCCCACTGTGGAAGCAGACTCACTAAAAAGTACCAGGAGACATAGATACGCGTGTTCCTACGTTCCATGGGGTTTATGGTCATTTTGTTTTTCTCTTTTATGCTAACCCCGATATTTCTGTATTATAATAGGATCTCTCCAGGAAAGGTAGCTCAGTTGAGAAGGGAAACCTGATAAAACCCTAGACCACTGATTTTCAAGTTGGGAAGTAGAACATACATATTAAAATCACCTAAGTGACTTTTTCCAAGTGAGCTTGCCCTCTCCAGGTGATATTAAATACAAATTCAGCTATTCTTATTAGGAATATGTTGGCTCAGAAAAAAAGCCTGCTAAATCACAAGTATAAGGTTTTTGCCTCTTTTCCAATAGAATACCATTCTTATTTTCTCCATGTTATGGTGAACATATGATCATGTTCTCAGAATTATAGAAAGTGAAATCTGGTGATCACATTATTCAGAAAATAGGGGTAAGTTTTGGAGATAATGTTATGACAGACTTAATGTTTTCTGTATTATATAGTTCCTTGGTTTTTATTTAATTATTGAGAATGTGTGGCTTTTTTTTTTTTTTTGTTTTGAGATGGAGTATCACTCTGTCGTGCAGGCTGGAGTGCAGTGGCATGATCTCAGCTCACTGCAACCTCCCAGGTTCAAGTGATTCTCCTGCCTCAGCCTTCTGAGTATCTGGGATCACAGGCATGCACCACCACGCCCGGCTGATTTTTGTCTTTTTAGTAGAAACAGGGTTTCACTATGTTGGCCAGGCTGGTCTCAAACTCCTGACCTCAGTTGGTCCGCCTGCCTTGGCCTCCCGAAGTGTTGGGATTACAGGCATGAGCCACTGCACCCAGCCTGTATGGCTTTTTAAATTAGAAAACAAGTAAAGATGTAAATGAATGGCTGAGTGGTGAGGTGTGTCTGGTTAACAACCACTGGTTAGCTACTCTGTCACATGGCAGCTTCATTCCTACTGGAAGCATCATTTTCTCCTACCTTTCATGGGGCTCAGTGATAAAACAAGGCTTAGTTGCCCCCTCCTCACCATCCCCACTGCTTACCTCCCTGATGGATAACCCTGTCATGCCAGCTTCTCTTTGCGTTGGCCAATAGATGCAATCTTGAGTGGTCAGATGGGCATTCCTGCTATCACCCTGCAGAAACTTCTCCATCTGCCTCCCGTGGGAGCTGGCTGGCATCGCAGTGGGTCTTTGTAGCTTGGCGTTGTTAAATGCTCTGCATTTAGGGTAATGCGTTGGCATCCTCCTAGTCTAGTCTCTTTGTTAATGTGCCTGTCACTGGTGTAACTTGGGTTTTTACACAGATAGAAGCTGTCCCTCTGTATCTCTGAGATGGATCACGGCTTTTCTTTCTGAATGCCCAGGCATACTGTTAATAGATAGGGCTATAAAGAATAGTGTCAAGTATGTTCTAGTTCAGCTATACCTTCCAAACAAAATTGGATGCAAGTTTTAAAGGAGTACACATTTGGAGCCTCAGATTGAATTTGAAAACTCTGTGGTCATTGATTTTGATTTTGCTCTAAAGTTTTATATAAAATTGTAGGACATTCAAAGGACCTTAGAAATTATTAAGTGATCTAAAGAAGGGATCCTTATAGGTAAAGAAATAGACTTGGGAATTAAAGTGGTCTTCTCATTGCTAATTAGCTACATTTTATAATTATCTGTGGACCCAGAGTGGAATCTAAGGGTTTTTTTTTTTTTTTTTCCATTTTTTAATCCAAAATTGTGTGTGTTCATTTATTTATTTATTTTGAGACGGGGTCTCAGTCTGTGAGTGAGGCTGGAGTATAGTGGTGCAGTCATGGCTCACTGTAGCCTTGAACTCCTGAACTCAAGTTATCCTCCAGCCTCAGCCTCCCACAGTGCTGAGATGACAGATGTGAGCCACCGCGCCTGGTCTGTTTACTTTTTAAGCAGTTTAATCCTTTCAAAAACAGGTCCAGGTCGAGAGAAAAGAGCCTGGTCACTTCTGTCTTTGTTTAAGTATTAATGTTGAACCCTGCTTTAGTAACAGTAGGAATATATCAGTGAATGTAGAATTGAAATAATTCTGTTGAACTTTGTACTTATTTTTCATTTTTTATTTTGATTAAAAGTCCAGGCTTTGATTGTTTGCTTTCCTAAGATTGCTGCTAGCCGAGAATGTTTTGGCATGCCAAAAAAAAGGGTAGCGTGGTCATGGAATTGGCGCTTACTGTTTGCAGCCAAGGTGGTGCCCCAGCAGATCACACACACTTCTCCTCGGATCCAGCCGGACTACCCTGCCGAGAGGAGCAGCCTGATTCCCATCTCCGGACATCGGGCCTCTCCCAATCCTGTGGCCATGGAAACCCGAAGCGACAACAGGTAGGAGGCCACGTGTCAGCTCTTCTGCCTCACTGTGTCACTAATCGTTCTGCTTTATCAGCATGAAACAAAATGTCCCACAAATACGGCCTGTATGTATTACTCATGCTTTCAGATTTTCCCCCGAAAGTAACTCTTCGTATAATTCCTTTTTTATGTGCAATGTTTTTCAAGCCAGTCTCCTTTTGACGGATGTTTTCCTAGTATCCATTTTTTTTGGTTTTGTGTGTTTAATATTTTTTGGCCATTTTGAGAGTAAGGGCTGTAGCATTATGCCCGTTTATCCATAAGTACCTGCATTTGTAGCACAGAAGAGTAAAGACGTTCTGTGACGTCACCGCGGTACAGCTATCTGAACGGACGCCGAGCTCTCCCTTCTCTTTGACTCATGGGTGTTTTTGAAGAGTGTGGAGAGGCCGGTTGTTTTGGGGAATTTGATACTGTCACATTGTTTCCTCATGGTTACATTCAGGTTATACCAGGTAAGCAGTGTGTCCTTCCCATTGCATCAGAGAGCTCCTGCGCTCTGTTTTCCCCGCATTGGTCATGTTAACATTCATTACTTAGTGAAGGTGATGTTTGCCAGTTTTTTTCTACTGGAAAGGCATGTTTTTCTCCTTCGTAAACAAGTAATCTATCTGGAAATGTCTGAGTGTAATTATCCTGTTCTCCAGTAAACATTCATTCAATAGTTGTAGATATATTATTAATTCCTGGCTGAATCCATTACTAATATGATAGTTGCAAAATAGTGAGTTTTTCTAACACGTTGTCTATATACATTAGCTGGCATTCTGATGTAAAGAGACTTTCTCTTACCCACCCCCATTTATTTTTTATGTTGAGCATTTTACTGTTTTTTAATCGGCTCAGGCTTGTAGATTTGCTTTTATTCATTAGAATCTGTTGCTGTCATCTATTTTGGTGCTCAGATGATCTCATTTGGTCCTTGGGGGTTCTTTCTACTTCTGTGGATTTCGCCACGTCCCCTCTGTTCTAGCCTTTCCTTCTTTTCCATGATGAGATATTCTAGATTCCTATTGAACTTTATCTGTCTGGCTCTGAAATCTGCTGTTTCTCCAAGGAGCCCTTTGTCATTTACAAACCAAGATCTGGGCATTAGCCCTGCATGTTGCTGTGGGTTGTCATTCTTCCAGGCCCTTTGAGCAGGCAGAGGTAGGAGGTATATAGTATTTTAAGAACATTTGAGTTCATACTGATACCTCTACTTCAACCCCATCACTTCCCCCATTCCATGTCTGTATCTGCCTCTCCCATAAAGTACCCTATACAGTGTACACAAAGTAATTTCAAAAGCAGATGATTGTTAAGTGTTCTAATTTGATCATTTGTGTCTAGGAGTGCTTACAGATTTTGATGCATTGACATGTCCATCCACCTTGTTGAATACTCCTATTAGCTCTCAATGTTTATAGATTCTCTAAATAATTCTGTAAATTAGCTCTAAATGTTTATAGATTTATAAATTTCCTATGTATATGTTTATTTTGCCTACAAATAAGGACAGTTTGAGGGGAAAGCAAGAGGGTCTTACCATTTTCATTTTTTTTTTGTTTTGTTTTTGAGACAGGGTCTTGCTCTGTTGCCCAGGCTGGAGTGCAGTGGCACCATCGTAGCCCACTGCAGCCTTGACTTCTGGGCTCAAATGATCCTCCCACCTCAGCCTCCCAAGTAGCTGGGACTACAGGCACATGCCATCATGCCTGGCTAAGTTTTTTTATTTTTTGTGGAGATGAGGCCTCACACTGTTGCCCAGGCTGTAGTGCAGCGGTGCGGTCTCGGCTCACTGCAATCCCTACCTCCTAGGTTCAAGTGATTCTCGTGCCTCAGCCTCCTGAGTAACTGGGATTATAGGCCTGCACCAGCACACCTGGCTAATTTTTGTATTTTTAGTAGAAGACGGAGTTTCGCCATGTTGGCCAGGCTGGTCTTGAACTTTAACCTCAAGTAATCTGCCTGCCTCAGCCTCCCAGAGTGCTCAGGCTGGTCTCGAACTCCTGAGCTCAAGTGACTCACCTGCCTCAGTCTCCCAGAGTGCTGCGATAGCAGGCATGGGCCACTGTGCCTGGCCTACTTCTATTTTCTTAGGCATTTATATCGTGACTAACTATTGACTGCTCTCGAATATTTTTATCTTTTATGTTTTAAATTATTGTTCTCTTTTAATTTTTAAAATTTATCTAAAACATGAATAGACATTCTGATGTTGAAGCATTTCTCTCCCTGTGATAAACTTTATTCGATTATGATGTATTTAACTTTATATGGTACTTAATTCAATTTTATGTAGGATTTTTTGTTGTTGTAGTGAGTTAGATTTGTTTATAATCTTTCTTTTGTCTTATTCTCCTGTTCCAATATTAGTATCAAGGCTATATTAAGCTTAAAAAATAAACTAGGAGCCAGGTACAGTGACACATGTCTGTAGTCCCAGAATTCAGGCAGCTGAGGCAGGAGGCTTGATTGGACCTAGGAGTTCAAGGTTGTAGTGTGCCATGATTGTGCTGTTGAATAACCACTACGCTCCAGCCTGGGCAACGTAGCAAGACCCTGTCTCTGAAAACATAAAAATAAGTTGGATCTCATTTCTTCTTTCCATTGTTTCTGAAGCAGTTCAGATGAAATTGGGATTATTTATGTATTTTTAGCGAAATTGGCCAGTAAAACCAGTTTGAGTTGAGTGTATGATGTAGTTCATGAGGAGTTGAGCAGGGAAGATTCGATTACTGAGTTTTTGTGAATTGGTTTTCAGACTTACTCTCAAAAATCACCCATAGAATATTATCTGTGTTTTTTACATTTAGTAATATAGGTATTTATAGTATCCACTTTGTTTTTGTTTTTTTAATTTTGCATTCTTGGTGTGTGTCCTGTGATGTAAGAGTTTGTTTGGGACACAAAAATTTGAGCAAAGCTCATTTGGCAGTTCTGATACAAAGAGGAGCTGGGGGATAGGATCATTTGAAAGTGAAGAAGAAAATGACTATTTTGTTTGCTATCATCTGTTCTGTCTCTAGACCGTCTGTTCCTGTTCAGTTCCAATATTTTTTGCCAACTTACCCTCCTTCTGCATACCCACTGGCGGCACATACCTACACCCCAATCACCAGTTCCGTGTCCACTATCCGACAGTATCCAGGTACGAATCCTGCTTTTTAGATGACTTTTCACAGTTTCATTTTTGCCAACAATAACGTAGAAATTGATTAGGGGTTATTTCTAGTATGAGATTAATTATTTCAGCTTCTGTTTTCAGATTCAGATAAAATGTGAAGCTTGAAGGTCTTAAATAATCGTCTTTGTGATCTATAAAAGGTTGTTACTCGTTAGTGATTTTGCATAGTATTGTGCCACCCTGAGGATAATCATGTTAGCAATTTTTGTTTCTCCTTAAAATGACAGTAGTTACAATGAGTAGAGCTGCACTTTTATAGGGTTTCCATTGTTTTATGCAAATATTGGTTGTATTTTTTAAAAATGTATAAAGGTTTGTTTATAATAACGTTTACTTTAGGTTCCATGGTACTTGTGCAGGTTTGTTATATAGATAAACTACATGTCACAGGGATTTGGTGTACCAGTTATATGTTTTTTAGTTCAGTTATGCTGTCCTCTCACCATCATGACGTGTAAATAGTGTTCTTTTTGCTAATCCAGGAAAAACAATCCTTAAATGTCAGAGTCTGTGTAATCTTTTCCTGTGGGACCCTCAGGTCACTCTGGGCGTCAGAAAGCCTTATTTCCAGCCAGGCGCAGTGGCTCATGCCTGTAATCCCAGCACTTTGGGAGGCCAAGGCAGGCAGATCACTTGAGGTCAGGAGTTCAAGACTAGCCTGGCCAACACGGAGAAACCCCATCTCTACTAAAAATACAAAATTAGCCAGGTGTGGTGGCACATGCCTGTAATCCCAGCTACTCGGGAGGCTAAAGCAGGAAAGTCGCTTGAACTTGGGAGGCAGAGGCTACAGTGAGCCACGATTGTGCCACTGCACTCCAGTCTGGGTGACAGAGTGAGACTGTCTCCAAAAAAAGAAAGCCTTATTGCCTGGGGCCGGGCACTGTGGCTGATTGATACCTGTAATCCCAGCACTTTGGGTGGCCATGGTGGGCAGATCACTTGAGCCCAGAAGTTTGAGACCAGCCTGGTCAATATAGGGAGACCCCATCTCTACAAAAAATTAAAAAATTCGGCGGGCATGGTGGTGCATGCCTCTAGTCCCAACTACTGAGGAGGCTGAGGTGGGAGGATTGCCCGAGCCTAGGAGGTTGAAGCTGCAGTGAGCCATGATGGCGCCACTGCACTCCAGCCCAGGTAACAAAGTGAGAGCCTGTTTCAGAAAACAGAGAGAAAAAGACAAAAGAAAGTGTTATTGTTGCCTGGATTGTGGACCTTGCCCTCCTGCCACACGGTGCTGTATGGCCGCCAGCGGCATGTGTGGCCACAGAGCACTTGAAGTAGGTTAGTACATGAAAAACTCGATTGTTAATTTTGTTTTATTTTGAGAAATTTCAAGTATGTTTGGAACAACTTAGCAATGCAAAACTACTTTTTCAGTTGTAGGCTTTATGAAATCAAAATACAGATTAAGCACATCTGATAAAAATTCATGAGATGTACTCGAAGAGTAAAATATACCCTAGATTTTGAAGACATAGTATGGAAAAGAGAATGTGAAATATCTTGTTAAGAATTTTTAGGCCAGGCCCAGTGGCTCACGCCTATAATCCTAGCACTTTGGGAGGCTGAGGAGGAAGGATCGCTTGAGACCAGGAGTTTGAGATCAAGCTAGATGAGACCTAGCCTCTACCAAAAATACAAAACTTAGCCAGGCATGGTGGTGCGTGCCTGTAGTCCCAGCTGCTTGGGAGGCTGAGGCAGGAGGATTGCTTGACCCCAAGAGGTTGAGGATGCATTGAGCCATGTTGTTTGCGCCGCTGCACTCAAGTCTAGGCAAGAAAGCGAGACCCTTGTCTCAAAAAAAAAAAAAAGTTTATTAATAACATATTGAAATGGTAATATTTTGAATATATTGGGTTAAATAAAATATATGATCAAAATTAATTTGGCCTGTTTCTTTTTTTTTTTTTTTTTTGAGACGGAGTTTCACTCTGTTGCCCAGGCTGGAGTGCAGTGTCGTGATCTCGGCTCCCTGCAGCTTCCGCCTCCAAGCTTCAAGCGACTCTCCTGCTTCACTGTCCCCAGTGGATGGTATTACAGGCATGCGCGACCACACCCAGCTAATTTTTGTATTTTTAGTAGGGATGGGGTTTCACCCTGTTGACCAGGCTGGTTTTAAACTCCTTCTCTCAAATGATCGCCCGCCTCGGCCTCCCAAAGTGGTGGGATTACCGGCGTGAGCCACCGCACCTGGCCTGTTTCAAACTTTTTTTTTTTTCTTCTTTGAGACAGTCTTTCTCTGTCACTCAGGCTGGGGTGCAGTGGTGCAATAACACCTCACTGCCTCCTCAGATGCCTGAGTTCAAGGGAATCCTCCCATCTCAACCTGACATATCTCGTGCCTGTAATCCCAGCACTTTGGGAGGCCGAGGTGGGCCAAGCTGGAACCACAGGCCTGTGTTATGATGCCAAGCTAATTCTTTAATTTTTCATAGAGATGGGGTCTTGCTATGTTGCACAGGCTGGTCTCCAACTCCTGGGTTCAAGCATTCCTCATATCTTAGTCTCCCAAAATGTTGGAATCAAAGGCAGAAATCACCACACCAGGCTCTTCTTACGTTTTTATTGTAGCCGCTGGAAAATGTAAAGTTGCGTGAGTGACCCAATATGCCATTGGACAGTGCTGGTCTAAAATTTCAAACATTGTAAGTTACTTGTTTATTTAGGGAAAGGTAGCTTAGAAGTGTAAGATATTTAAATGGCTTTGAAAACAAGTTCCTACGTCTCTGGATTGTTTTGATGACTAAGGAAAAAGTCCTCTGTGTTTATTTTCTTTCCGCAGATAGTGAGAAATTCCTCCTTTTTTTTTGTTGAGCTTTCTGTGAATGCTCTTGTTTTCTTTTTTTTTTTTTTTTTTTTTAATATACACAGTAGCATGGCGGTGTGTGCCTTGCAGGACACAGGACACTTGCTTGTTTTTTTTTTTTTTTGGATACGTGCCATTTGAAATTCATAACTGCCATATTTCAAAACTGCCTGTGCTAGTGGCCCTGTCAAGTAAAGCAGAGGTTCTTGATTTTTTTTTTTTTTTGTATTTCTGACGTTTTATATTAATTATTTAACACGTTTTTTTTTTTTTTATTTGCAATTGAATAGCTGATTGCCTTTTTTCTTGTTTTTTTTTTTTTTTTAGTAATCTGTAGAAAGACAACATCATATTGGTAGGAGGTGAAAGGAAATAACAATCCCAAATATATGAAGGTTCAAGTAACAGTGTTTTTTTTTTTTTTTTTTTTTCAAACCATGAATTTAGATCTTATACAGTGTTTTTTTTTTTTTTTTATTTTAGTGTTTTTCTCTTTATGTGGAGTGTGTGTTTTTTTTTTTTTTTTCTTGTAGTTACCTTTTGCATCATTTTTAGTTTCATTTTTTTTTTTTTTCTCTGCCATCACAGCTCAGACTGGCGTGGGGGTAGCTTTTTTTTTTTTTTTAAACCCCATGCAGTTGATGACAGTGGATGCATCACTTTTTTTTTTTTTTCAAGGGATCCAGCCAGCACCCATCAGTACCCAGGGCATCCAGCCGGCCCCCATCGGGACCCCAGGGATACAGCCCGCACCACTTGGTTTTTTTTTTTTTTACTCAGCAACCCCAATCAACACACAAGGGCTTCAGCTTTTTTTTTTTTTTACTCAGCAGCCTCAGCCGGAAGGAAAGACTTCAGGTTTTTTTTTTTTTTTGCATAGAAGGTGGTTTGGAGAAAAGAAATACATTTGTTTTTTTTTTTTTTCTCTGCCACTGATTTTGTCATCTTATAATTTCTCTATTTTTTTTTTTTTTTGTATTAATAATATGAGTTGCTTAGAACTTACAATTTCAGGGTCACTGTAAACGTTAGAAATAATATACCTCACGCCTGTAATCCCTTTTTTTTTTTTTTCCGAGGTGGGTGAATCATGACGTCGGAGATCGAGACTTTTTTTTTTTTTTTGGTGAAACCCCGTCGCTACTAAAAATACAAAAAAATTTTTTTTTTTTTTTGGCGGGTGCCTGTAGTCCCAGCTGCTCGGGAGGCTTTTTTTTTTTTTTTGCGTGAACCCGGGAGGCGGAGTGAGCTGAGATCGCATTTTTTTTTTTTTTCCTGGGCAACAGAGTGAAACTCTGTCTCCAAAAAAATTTTTTTTTTTTTTAAAGTAATAAACATCAGCAGCCCTAGTATTCATTTGTTTTTTTTTTTTTTTGTTATCTTTTTTAAAAGCTCCTAGTTGTGGGAAAATTTTTTTTTTTTTTGTAGTGTTCTCATTGAAGATTTTCTTCAGAGTTGTATTTTTTTTTTTTTTATCTTATGCTGATGTTAGCTAATAGTATGAATGCTTTTTTTTTTTTTTTTGTGGAATAACACTTTGAAAAGTGGAATAAGTCACTGTTTTTTTTTTTTTTTGAGACAGAGACAGAGTCTCACTCTGTCACCCAGGCTAGAGTACAGTGGTATGTGATCTTGGCTCAGCATAGCCTCAATCTCCTGGTTTTTTTTTTTTTTCCCACCTCAGCCGCCTGAGTAACTAGGACTATAGGTTTTTTTTTTTTTTTCTAATTTTTGTATTTTTAATAGAGACAGAGTTTTGCTTTTTTTTTTTTTTTGGTCTCAAACTCCTGGCCTCAAACAGTCTACTCACTTTTTTTTTTTTTTGTGCTGGGATTACAGGCATGAGTCATTACACCAGCCTTTTTTTTTTTTTTTTTTCGGCTGAGTTTAAGATTCCATGTACTTGGATTTTTTTTTTTTTTTTATTTCTCTGATGTAGTTTAAAAAAGCAAAATGGCTGTTTTTTTTTTTTTTTGCTGATTTATTTTTTTTAAGGCAGGGTCTCACTCACTCTGTTGCTCAGCTGGAGTACAATGGTACAATCGTGGCTCACTGTAGCCTTTTTTTTTTTTTTTCAAGCAGTCCTTACGCCTCAGACGCCCATGTAGCATTTTTTTTTTTTTTATGCCACCACACCCGGCTAATTATTTTTGATTTTTTTTTTTTTTTTTTTTTTGCTCATTTCCCAGGCTGGTCTCAAACTCCAGAATTTTTTTTTTTTTTTAACCTTGTCCTCCCAAAGTGCTACAGTTACAGGCATTTTTTTTTTTTTTTGGCTGGAGCTATGCATTTAATCGTTCTGTAGACAGTTTTTTTTTTTTTTTAAAGTCTCTCCGATTTTTTATTACTAAACTAACTGTTTTTTTTTTTTTTTCAATTTACCCATAGTGACCCACCTGGTAGGATGGTGTTTTTTTTTTTTTTGGGCACCTGCCAGAAAGCGCATGGTATTAAGTTGACTTTTTTTTTTTTTTCATTTTTATAGGTCAAAAACTGTCAGACACTGATATTTTTTTTTTTTTTTCTCATGCTCACCAGTATTGTGATGCTCACTTTAAGTTTTTTTTTTTTTTTTCTGTTAGTTGAATGTGTTTGTAAGGATAGACTGGGTTTTTTTTTTTTTTTGAGGGCTGAGAGAGGTTGGTGTTTTATAAAAACTGTTTTTTTTTTTTTTTTGAAGTGTACATTGGAGCATGCTATCAGGCTGGTAGATGGTGTTTTCTATTTGTGGCTCTTGTATTAAGCCTTTCCTGTCTGTCATTTTTTTTTTTTTTAAAATGGGAATTACAGTGATGGTAAGAATTATATCATTTTTTTTTTTTTTGTAACTAGTAGAGTGAGAGACTATACTAGATACTATTTTTTTTTTTTTTTTTATCTCATTTATTAGTAACTGTGATTATACAGCAATTTTTTTTTTTTTTTATGGGTCAGGCGCAGTGGCTCATGCCTGTAATCCGAGCACTTTGGGAGGCCAAGGCGGGCGGATCACTTAAGGTCAAGAATTCGAGACTAGCCTGGCCATCATGGTGAAACCCCATCTCTACTAAAAATACAAAATTTTTTTTTTTTTTGTGGTGCGCGCCTGTAATTCCAGCTACTCTGGTGGTTAAGGCAGGAGAATCACTTGAACCTGGAAGGCAGAGGTTGCCGTGAGCTGTTTTTTTTTTTTTTCACTCTAGCCTGGGCAACAGAGCAAGACTCTCTGAATTTTTTTTTTTTTTGAAAAAGTAATGGTATGGTTCACACCACTGCACTCCTTTTTTTTTTTTTTAGCAAGACTCTCTCTCAAAAAAAGAAAAAGAAAAAGTTTTTTTTTTTTTTACGCACCAGTAGACAGTAACTGCTCCCATTTAGCTGTTTTTTTTTTTTTTGACGGACACTGTGCTCCTGTCCCTTATCAGTTGGAATTTTTTTTTTTTTTACATGGATCCCTAATTCTAGTGGTCTCGTCGTTTGTTTTTTTTTTTTTTTTAGCATTTTGTTTCTGTTGCTTCCCTCTCTTCAATGTTTTTTTTTTTTTTTTCTCTCCTCTAGCAGTGGTGTTGGCAGATGGAGCCTTTTTTTTTTTTTTCCCTATTAGCAATCCATTCAGTGCTGCTCCAGCAGCAACAACCGTGGTGCAGACCCACAGCCAGAGTGCTAGCACCAACGCTCCCGTTTTTTTTTTTTTTCCGCGGCCAAGCATACTGCGCAAGAAACCTGCCACATTTTTTTTTTTTTTCCTGGTGGTGCCAGATGACACCTCTGGTTCTGGCTATTTTTTTTTTTTTTAACAGGCACTCTTATCTAATGCTGGTATCAAACTCATTTTTTTTTTTTTTTGGCGTGTTAAAATTTCCTCCAAAACAGCTTGACCACAGGATTATTCAATGGAGTCTTACCCAGCTGAGACTGTGAGATCTTAACATTTTTTTTTTTTTTTGAGGTGTTCGTGTGTAAGCATCTGTTGCATCCTGCTTTTTTTTTTTTTTGTTCTGGAACTTCAATCATAGAACTTTTAAAGTAGTTTTTTTTTTTTTTTTGGGCTTGTGGAGGTAGTTACATTAACTCATACTATTTTTTTTTTTTTTTATGAATTGTTGCTGTTGAAACAGGAGAAGTTCCCTTGTCCCCCTCTCAGGGCGTGCAATGGGGGAGTGACTTGCTTCTTCATTGCCTTTTTTTTTTTTTTTCTAGGGGAGCGTACAGACGGTAGACTGTGGGGCTGTTTTTTTTTTTTTTCGTCTAGAGGTGAATGTTTGCAACCGAAACCCCGGTTTTTTTTTTTTTTTGGGTGCTCTTTTCCTCTAGCCATCCGTGGATGACTTTTTTTTTTTTTTTTGATTAGACCCCTGCCTTATGGCGAGGTCAGAGGGCTTTCTGTTTCCCAGGGTTCTTGCCGTGGTGTGCTGGAAGAATGGGATCGCGTTTTTTTTTTTTTTAGGAGTGTAGGGTTTTACTGAGTAGAAGTAGCTCTCTTTTTTTTTTTTTTCCAGAAGGGAGATGGAACGGCCCCGGCTCTCTGACTGCCCTGGCCAAACTGCGTCGTTCTGCTGGTCGGTGGCCTGCTGGCCTGCCAGCGTCTGTCACGTGCTCTCCCACCGGCGTGCTCTCCTCGCCGTCCTGTTTTTTTTTTTTTTTTTGTGTCTTCCTTCGCCAGTGTGTTCCTCTTGATGTCTTTTTTTTTTTTTTCCTGCCTGCTAGGGTCTCGGAGGTTTTTATAGGCACAGGCTCAGGGTGTAGCAGGCCATGGTGGTCTGGGGGAAATGCAGCATTTGTTTTTTTTTTTTTTAATGCCTGTCATCACCTAGATCCGTGGGCACAGCCGAGGGTAGAGCCCTCACCGGCGACCTGCCCTTTCCAGCACTTCCCTGCTCCTTTTTTTTTTTTTTGTGGGCAGACAATTTCTGAAGTGTAGTAAGGGTCATTTTTTTTTTTTTTTAGTGTTTTGTGTTGCCATGTAAGCTTCTCAGTTGGTTTTTTTTTTTTTTTAAGGCATGTGCTGTGCTGTTCAACTTAAACATTCTGTTTTTTTTTTTTTTGCAGATATGTTTCAGAGAGCACAGTTTCTGTGGCTCTTTTTTTTTTTTTTCATCAACATCAACAGATTAAAGCAAGTGCAAACTTATTTTTTTTTTTTTTGGGTCCCTGCAGGGTTTTTATTTCCACAGAGCTGTGCATCGACCAGAGTCCCTATCTTTGCTGCTTGAGAATACTTTGTACTTTTTTTTTTTTTTTTTTTGTCCGTGACAAAGTTACCTTATTAGTAGAAGCACAATTTTTTTTTTTTTTTTAAGATGACAGATTGATTACACACGTCTGAAATCTTTTTTTTTTTTTTTCCTATATAACTTTTTTTCAAAAAAGTTGTAAACACACAAGGATGGGGAGAACAGGAGAGGACACAGTAGCAACTGAAGCTGGGAAGTTTTTTTTTTTTTTATGGCATCCTGGCTCTGAGAAAGCTAAATGTGAAGCTTTTTTTTTTTTTTGTTGAGAACCATTCTCTTAAAATTGGAAAATCTTCATTTTTTTTTTTTTTAGGAAGATCCTGGGGGCAAGGGAAGGGGCTCTCTCTTTTTTTTTTTTTTTGTTAAAACCTTTGAGTTTGAAAAGTGTTAAAGTTAGAGCCCAGAATCCCATTTTCTACGTATGCCATGTGGTGTACTGCCCCTTCCTTTTTTTTTTTTTTGCCTGAAAGCTCAAACTGCAGATGGTCCGCTGGGATTTTTTTTTTTTTTTGAGATCATGGATATTTTACCAGAAAGAAATTGTGACTTTTTTTTTTTTTTTGGAATGCTGAACACTTCCCAGTCCACTCCCTGCTTTTTTTTTTTTTTTTTGTGGCAGGTGAACTTGATTCTTGATAGAAAATGAGTTTTTTTTTTTTTTTTCCTTCTGGGGAGTCTATCCGGCCCAAGGGGAAGCTTTTTTTTTTTTTTCACTAGGGCTTCCCTAAGGACAGGGTTAGATTACCCTTTTTTTTTTTTTTTAGTAGATATGCCCTTCCAAAGCTCAGAGCCCCCAGTTTTTTTTTTTTTTCCTCTTCCCCACTCCCCCACTCTTAATCATGAACATTTTTTTTTTTTTTTACACATATTTGAGGGGACCTCTAATGGTGGACGACAGAAACCACAATAAATACATGCCCAAAGCACCTTGGAAGATGTAGAGGCTTTTTTTTTTTTTTTTAACACAAAACAAATGAACAAGGATAAGCAAACACTATTTTTTTTTTTTTTAGAAAGACAAAACAAAAGGTTACATCCATGAAACAGTTTTTTTTTTTTTTGCAAAAAGAACATTCAGAGGAGAAAAGAACCAGTCCTGAAATAAGATAGCAGAAATTGAAAGATCAGTAGAAGAGTTGGAAGATAATTTTTTTTTTTTTTCAAACGTAGAACAAAAAGACAAGAAAATTGGAGAAATTTTTTTTTTTTTTAAACAACAATAAAAAGAACCAGTTCAGGAAATCCAGTTTTTTTTTTTTTTGTTTCAGCGAGAGAGATCAGAGAAAAGGAGCAGGGATTTTTTTTTTTTTTGGAGTTATAAAGTAATAGAAAATGACCAAAATGGAATTTTTTTTTTTTTTTGGTTACAGAAATGCTCTGCACAGTATTCGGTGGATTTTTTTTTTTTTTTCCAGTATTTTGAAATTTTGCCGCACTGGAAGACAAATTTTTTTTTTTTTTTCTCCCGTACTTCCTCCCAAAGACGCTTGTACTGTGTTTTTTTTTTTTTTGCCTGTCATCACGCGACACTCCAGCCTTCACCCCAGTTTTTTTTTTTTTTCTTTCTCCACGCCTTCTTGCTTTAAACCTGGCTCTTCCTCAGGAACTCAACTTGCCCTGCAGCTGTCTAAAGTGGTCCCTGCCTCTTTTTTTTTTTTTTTCTGTCACTCAGCCTAGAGGTAGGCTAGGTGTCCTTGTTTTTTTTTTTTTTCATTTTCAGACCATGTCTCCTCAAAAGCACTTGATCTTTTTTTTTTTTTTATAAAACCTACAGTTGAAAAAGTAGTTTCATATAACTTTTTTTTTTTTTTCAATAAAAAGTTTCTCAATAACTGGATCAAGTATCCTTTTTTTTTTTTTTATTAATTAAAATGAAATGACATTAAAAATTTTGTTCTTTTTTTTTTTTTTGCACATTTCAGGCGCTCAGTAGTACCATACGGCTTTTTTTTTTTTTTTTTCAGAGCTACAGGCTGAGAGAGTCAAGTTAGATTGTGTTTTTTTTTTTTTTTGCCCTTTGGAAGGACATGATGGCTGGCACTTTTTATTTTTTTTTTTTTTCTGTCTTCACCTTTAATGATCGGAAATGGTTTGCCATTTTTTTTTTTTTTCAGGCGTTTGAATGCATCTCCTGCCTCCACCACCACCACCGCCCAGTGTGAGCACTTAGCACATAAGCTCAGTAAGCCTTCCTGACTTTTTTTTTTTTTTCCCATGCCCCTTGCCCATCTTCTTTCTTCCCACCTCTTTTTTTTTTTTTTTCCAGCTCCAGAGGGACCCCAGCAGCCTCCAGTCCATTTTTTTTTTTTTTCATGCGCCTCCCTGCCTCTCATGGCGTCTTTCTCTGTTTTTTTTTTTTTTGAGTCTGTGGTCACTGGCAGTCATTGCCTTACCCCCTTTTTTTTTTTTTTTGTCAAAACCAGACTTAAGTCCAATTTTCTGCTTCGTTTTTTTTTTTTTTACAGCAGATTATGGCAGGGAAAGCCACCTTGCCAACTTTTTTTTTTTTTTCAGCCTCACAGACGCACTACGGTCTTAAAGCAGCCCTTTTTTTTTTTTTTGCCTGCACCACTCCAGACAACTGTTTTATGTTTCCTTTTTTTTTTTTTTTCAGGCTTCTTCCATCTTCACTGTTAGTCGACAAACTTTTTTTTTTTTTTTGAAAAAGAAAATCAAAAGACAACTTTGGAAGGCCGAGGCAGGCGGATCATCTGAGGTCAGGAGATCGAGACTAGCCTGGCCAACATTTTTTTTTTTTTTTTCTACTAAAAATACAAAAAATAGCTAGGGCGTGCTGTTTTTTTTTTTTTTTCCCTGTTACTCGGGAGGCTGAGGCAGGAGAATCACTTTTTTTTTTTTTTCAGAGATTGCAGTGAGGTGAGATCGTGCCACCACACTTTTTTTTTTTTTTCAGAACAAGACTCTGTCTCAAAAAAAAAAAAATTTTTTTTTTTTTTTTTTATATATGCCTGTCACCCAACTTTAGTTCTCAGCTTATCAGCTCTTGGCCAATTTTGCTTCACCTATATGCTTACCTACCCGCTCCTTTTTTTTTTTTTTTAAGCAAATCCTAGATACCATGTCATTTCATTTGTATTTTTTTTTTTTTTTTCCTATGCAGAGATACATAACATTAAAAAACCAATATTTTTTTTTTTTTTAATAGCCAGTCATTGTTCAGGTTTCCAGTGGTCTGATTTTTTTTTTTTTTTGTTATATTTTATATTATTTATTTGAATGAGTATTCTTTTTTTTTTTTTTCATTGTGATTAGTTAATATGACTTTTAAAACCATTTTTTTTTTTTTTTTTCCTCTTTTTTTCTTTTTTTTCCTGCAGTTTATTTGTTGAAGAAACTTGGTCTTCTGGGCCATACCCCCTCTGGATTTTGTTGATGGTTTTTTTTTTTTTTTCATTTCCTAGGGCTGTTGTAACAAACTACCACAAATTTTTTTTTTTTTTGCAACAGACACGCGTATCTTATAGTTCCAGTAGCT